ACTGACTGTGTCTGAGTTATTGACGTAATCCTTAACTAATGCATACATTAATGTACATAACAGTGAGTGAGTATGGTTTTACGCCACTTTGGGTAATATTCCAGCAATATCATTGTGGAGGACACAAATGGGCTTCACACATTGTACACATGCGGGGGATCAAACCTGGCTTTTCGGTGTGACAAGCAAACGCTTTAACCACAAGGTACCCTACCTCAGCTAATATGCATAATAAACATTGAGGTAGCAGACAGACAAGGCGTTAATTTACAAAACTTAAATCAAACTTGTTAGCGCCATGTCCTACTTTAATGCCACAGTTGGAAATATTCAAACTTTTTACTGAGGCTCTGCCTCGGACCAATGATCCATGTCATTGAAGTGTGTTAGATGCTCAGAAAGTAAAGCATAATTATTGAGATAATGTGGATAAAGATTGCGACACATTGCTCAATACCCGAATACAAATGCAGGACGTATAGACAGCCAGTACTGCAAGCAAGCTGCACAAAGAGCACTATTTCACATCCCAATGTCTTTAAAGGTCAGCGGAACAATGGCCATGTAAGTAGCTGTATAAGTATTACCAAGTATTACCGTATTCGACGTAATAAGCGCCCCCCCTCTAATAGGCGCCCACGGCAATATTTGCTAATATATTGGCTAACGAACAATCCCAATTAGCACCCCTTCCAATTGATCAATGTATACAAGACTTATTTATTCCCGTATTAAACACACTCGTGTGTTTTATGCACCCTTAATTATGGGGAAGTTAATTTTGGAAAAATATATCTGTCGAACATAAACCTTTCAGGCTGTCAGCCATAAACCACAAAATTTATCTTTCAACTCGGTTTTTTTTCCCACCAAAATGATATTCTAAGAAGAGCCCCCTATTCATAATTTTGAGAGTGCCCTGGGCGCTTATTATGTCGAATATGGTAATTCGTATTGTGTGCATTTGATATTTACTGATTTACAGACGAGCTGACATTTGCCAATTTTTTTCAAACTATCCAATATTGTTTCTGAATTTTATTGAAAGATATGGAGCCAAGAGGTTTATAACAAATAAGTATAAACTGTGTTAAATATGACTGACATTACCATTGACTAAATGAGATTTGTTTCACACAATCGTGATAAATAGAACATGCCTTATGTTATATGGAATGAAAGAAAACAGGTTTTCCTGTCATAGTGTACAATTAATAACATGGCGCAAGATACTCAGTCACAGGTCACTAGATTTTGGAAGCGAAGTCTTGTTTATTTCCAGGGCCTATTAAGCAAGTCATTGATACTCTTCAGAGCAGGATGTATTTTGTGGTTGTATGTAAGGTGGTAAATTATGATATAGCAGGTTCTTATGTGTCATGTTTGATTAGAAAGTGTCTGTCATTTCCTTATCTGTTGTGAATGTGAATCCCCTTGTTAACTTTTCATTTCACTTCCTGTTTCTGTTAGCCGCTTTGCGTAGGAGAACTAGTTATTATTCCAGTTCATGTGTTCATGTGATTCCCCTTGTTAACCTTTTATTTCACTTCCTTTTTCTGTTAGCCGCTTTACGTAGGAGAACTAGTTATTATCCCAGTTCATGTGTTCATGTCCAGCTATAGAAACTAACATTTGTAGTCCACTAGTCCTTATAATGATAACATATAGCAAAACCCTTAATAATGGCAAATTTCTACTAGTCCTTATGATACCTGAACTTTTGGGCAGTTTGGCAAGGACTACAGAACTAGTGCCAATTTCTTACGCTGATGTCCTATAATGAAAACATCATTTTCTAAATCAGACCTGCTTTAGTTTAGACATGCATAATATGTGAACTATTGTATTTGTAAGGGAAATTTGATGTTGAACACAATGAATATAATGCAGAAACATTTGACATGTTACTTGGTTCATGGAATATGTTAAAGTTGTACATTATATCATGATGTTTCTAGGAGTGACTTACTTTGACTCTACAGGGTTTAACACGACTCAGGAATGTGCAGCCACTATGCACAAGTGTAAAGAATGGAAACAGAAAATATCATATAGCGCATCCCAAGGCATAGTAGTATTCATTGAACCATTTTTTAATAATAGGAAATATGAAGGTCCTGTAATTGAAGTAATAATCAAATCTTAAAGTACGGGACACCCGCAAAGTTCCGGGGTAGAATAGGTCTTCAGCAACCCATGCATGCCGTGAAAGGTGAATGTTTGTCATAAGAGGCGACTAACGGGATTGGGTGGTCAGGCTCACTGACTTGGTTGATACATGTCATCGTTTCCCAATTGCGTTGATTGATGCGCATGATGTCAATCACTGGATTGTTTGGTCCAGACTTGATTATTTACAGACCGTCGTCATATAGCTGGGATATAGCTGAGTGTGGCGTTAAACAACAAACAAACCTAATGTTACAGGAATGTCATATTTCCTGTAAGAATCCTTGAAATGAATTATTGAGTGTTCCCGAACCTCTTGTCTAGCCCGGGGGCGCAGGTGGCCCTGTCGTCTAAGGCGCCACGATTCGCTGTGCAGAGTTGCGTCCCTTTGGACGCGCCAGAAACCTATGATTGTGGTTTCGAATCCCGATTCGCCCCGATTATGTTTCTAGGTTTGTCAGCACCATACCCGTGCTCGTGGGTTTCACCGAAGTGGTAAACGTCTGAGACCCGCATCACTTCGGGCTTTCCTCCCACATTAAGCTGACACGCCGCGATATAACTGGAATACTGTTAAAAGCGGCGTTAAACTCAATTCACTCACTCCTGTCAAGCCCAAGGTAAAGCCCTGAACATATTTTATTGTTTTGTATGTCAGGGTATGTGGTCAATGGAAGATTAACGTCCTCACAATGGAAGTGCAATGTCATGGCTATCTGGCGTAGGACCTTATTGCTTGTGAAAATATTTAGGCAGTTTAAGGACAGATTCTGTCATAAGAGCCACAGTTCTCTGTGCAGAGTACAGTCCATTTGGTATTCCAGTGTCTTCTGATTCTTATCATGCTTTTTGTTCTTGACAACAGGAGCCTTCAATCCAGGAAGTACCTGTATGGCATGGAGATAACAGAAATAAATTAGCCTTAGAGTCAGTGAACGTTCTTAAAGGAACACTGTGCTCCACAACCTTGTGCTCATGTCTTGTCTCATGTGTAAAACGTGGGCACGGGTGGCCCAGTCGTCTAAGGCGCCGCGATTCTCTGTGCAGAGTTGCATCTCTTGGGCACGTCAGAAACCTATGATTGTGGGTTCGAATCCCGGTTCGCCCCGATTATGTTTCTAGGTTTGTCAGCACCATACCCGTGCTCGTGGGTTTCACCGAAGTGGTAAACGTTTGAGACCTGCATCACTTCGGGCTTTCCTCCCACATTAAGCTGACACGCCGCGTTATAACTGGAAAACTGTTAAAAACTGCATTAAACGAAACTCACTCACTCACTCACTCACTCATGTGTAAAACTAAAATGGCACCACAAATGGGCCTCACATATTGATCCCATTTGGGGAGTGAACCTGGGTTTTCTGCATAACAAGCTACTGCCTTAACCACTCAGCTACGCCACTGTCCAGTAGTACATGAACCGGTGACTACCAGGGAGGACCAACTGTGAAGATCCAGGGTAGAATTGGTCTTCAGCAACCCTTCCTTGTCATAAAAGGCGACTATGCTTGTCGTAAGAGGCGACTGATGGGATCAGGTGGTCTGGCTCGCTGACTTGGTTGACGCATGTCATTGTATCCCTATTGCCTGGATCGATGCTCATAACATCAATCACTGAAGTGTCTGGTCCAGACTCCATTGATTACAGACTGCTGTCACATAGCGGGAATATTCCTGTGGGGTTAAACAACAAACAAACAAGACCAGGGTGGACCAACTCTCAGGGGGTATTCAGTGTGATCATGCAACTTTTCTGCTGCCTCCTCAGTATGGGTGTTGCTGACTTAACACAGACTTCACACAGACTTCACACAGACTTCACACAGACTTCACACATACATGGGAAACCTTCCAGACAGTTGGGAACATAGTATTGATCCTGTGTGATGACACACCATATATCATGTCTGGGGATATGGAAGATCTCGTGGTAACATTGAAACAGAAACACTTGAATCAACAAGATGTCACAGCTTAAAGTACAATTTCACTGTAATGAATGAAGAATTTATTGTTGTTTCTAGAATGAAGTGATTGTGGAGGAGTGATATCATTGAAGGCTGCACAATGAGGATGAATAGTGTGATTTTTGTTTTGATGGGTAGAAATGGGATATATTTGTACCCGTTTAAATTGTAATTAGGACATAGATCTACCACTAGTTACGCATTGATGAAGTACGGTAGTGATATTGGTTCAGATGATGATGATGATTATGTTGATAGTGGTTGTGATGATGGTGGTTGTTGATTTTGTAATTTTCGTTGTGATGGTGTTGGGAGATGATAATGATGGTGGTGATTGTTATGCTGATGATGTTGATGGTTGTGATGATGATGATGAGGATGTTTATGTTGATGATGATGTTGACAATGGTGCACATGTTGACGGTGGTGATGATGTTGATGATGATGATGGTGGTGATCGTTATGGTGATGATGTTGATGGTTGTGATGATGATGATGTTTATGTTGATGATGTTGACAATGGTGCACATGTTGGCGGTGGTGATGATGATGTTGATGATGATGTTGATGTTGATGTTGATAGTTGTGATGTTAATGGTGGTGAGGATTATGTTGACGATGATGAGGATGCTGATTTTGGTGATGATGTTGATAGTTGTGATGTTGCTGGTGGTATTGATGTTGATGTTGATGGTGGTGTTGATGTTGTTGGTGGTGTTGATGTTGATGATGGTGTTGATGTTGGTGGTATTGATGTTGATGTTGATGATGGTGTTGATGTTGGTGGTATTGATGTTGATGGTGGTGTTGATGTTGATGATGTTGTTGGTGGTGTTGATGTTGATGGTGGTGTTGATGTTGCAGGACATGGAAGAACCACACCCTCGGGGAGGAGATGATTCGCCAGCTGGAGAACCAGGGGCTGCAGATGGCAAGGGAGAAACAAGACTACTTTGGTGAGGATTACTGCCAGTGTCACACACCTTAATGACGCATTGCTGTAAAACGTAATAGGAACATGTGCACATAATCTTGAAGTACCATCTTATAAATGTGTGTCTCTGTCCATCCGCATCAGATCTAATCCTTTCCCCATCTGTCGTATAGAATAAACAATCCCTCCACATCTGCTTGGAACAGTAATGTAGTCACAGGACTGTATCTGTTGTACGGGAGATTGAATTGGTGTACTAATCAGTCCATAAGTATTTCAATGTTTTTATTTCAGATCGCCTTCAGAGTGAAGTGTGTGCTTTGTCAGAAGAGCGAGAAAGAGCAGAGGTAGGAAGGGAAAACTTATATTATTCCCCCTGACCTTTTAGGTCGGTGGTATATAGTTATACCAAGGTTCCGTTCATCTGTTCGTCCGTCCGTCCGTCCGTCCGTCCGTCCGTCCGAAAACTTTGTCCATGCGATTTCTCTTAAACTATTCAGTGGATTCATCTCAAACTTAGTACATATAATGTGTGCCATATAGAGGGGTCAGTCAAAAGAAAAAAAAATGTTTTTTCTTAATTTTCTTGAATTTTTCAAACCCTAACCCTATCCATTATTTAATTTGAAACTACTGACACACTAGGCGTGTCGGGGGTATTAGTGAGCTACGCTCACTTATGCCCTTGTTCCTTCAACTTTAGCTTCAACTTTAACATAGTTAATACACCCAGTAATGATGGCCCAAAATGTTGCATCATCAGCATTTTCACATCATCGCTGCCGACAATAACTTGGTTACATCTTCAAGCTGCATAACTCATTAAAATGTTTAGAACCATGAAGATTCCGGAGTAGAATAGGTCTTCAGCAACCCATGCTTGCTGTAAAAGGCGACTATGCTTGTCGTAAAAGGCGACTATGCTTGTCATAAAAGGTGACTAACAGCATTGGGTGTTCAGGCTTGCTGAATTGGTTGATGTATGTCATTGTATCCCAATTGTGTGGATCGATGCTCATGATGTCAATCACTGGATTGTCTGGACCAGACTCGATTATTTACAGACCACTGTCATATAGCTGGAATATTGCTGAGTGTGGCATTAAACAACAAACAAACACAAACATTAAAATGTTTATGGCAGTACACTGCAGTACATATCACAGTACAGACCTAAGTATCGCAGTATACTGCTGTACAGTATCCTCGGCTAAACACAGCCCTACTCAATCGCTATTGCGGAGCGACATTTCATTTTGGCAATAGATTGATGTTAAGAGGATTTCAAACCAGCTGTTTCAGTCACTAGTGGTTACTGTGATTTGAAACTTCTGATTGATCAATCAGGATCCAGAATTTATCCATTTCGTGGTAGAATTTTGAGTAAATTCTGCTGATCACATAAGTAAAACTGTTTACATGTAGTGAGACGTCCAATTATATCTGCTTCCCTTTCTGTACATGATAACCTTGCATAGTTGACCACGTTGCTGTGTTGTAGGAGTTGGAGAGAATCAACCAGGAACTGGAGAAGGAGAGGCAGAAACTGGAGAAGTTCACTCAGGATATCAGGGAGGAGTATGAAAAGATCCGAGAGTGAGTGGGATATCAGGGAGGGTGTGGCAAGATATCAGGGAGGGTATGGCAAGATATCAGGGAGGCTATGGCAAGATATCAGGGAGGGTGTGGCAAGATATCAGGGAGGGTGTGGCAAGATATCAGGGTGGGTATGGCAAGATATCAGGGTGGGTATGGCAAGATATCAGGGTGGGTATGGCAAGATATCAGGGAGGGTGTGGCAAGATATCAGGGAGGGTGTGGCAAGATATCAGGGTGGGTATGGCAAGATATCAGGGTGGGTATGGCAAGATATCAGGGTGGGTATGGCAAGATATCAGGGTGGGTATGGCAAGATATTAAGGAGGGTATGGCAAGATATCAGGGTGGGTATGGCAAGATATCAGGGTGGGTATGGCAAGATATCAGGGAGGGTATGGCAAGATATTAAGGAGGGTATGGCAAGATATCAGGGTGGGTATGGCAAGATATCAGGGTGGGTATGGCAAGATATCAGGGTGGGTATGGCAAGATATTAAGGAGGGTATGGCAAGATATCAGGGAGGGTATGGCAAGATATCAGGGAGGGTATGGCAAGATATCAGGGAGGGTCTGGAGGTTTTGGGATCGTAAATATCCTGTATGAGGAATAAGGATTGTATTTAGCCAGCCAAGCCATGGATCATTCTATTGAATCAGTTCAAGGGAGATAACTCTGTAAATGTGATTCTATAAAATGGCAGACATTATGTGTGTGCACGTCTCTATCTGTGCCTGTATCTCCATGTCTGCAGTGAGCTGGAGGAGACTGTGGACACGATGCGGATGTTGGACGATGACCGCCAGCAGCTCTCCGAGACACTCAAAACACAGTATGACCAGCTACAGGTACTGCCTTTTTTCTTTTTGCCATTCTTCACTCTTTTGCTCAATGGTCCAATGGTGTCTTTGGAAGTTGCACACAAAAACTGAATTGTCGTATATGTGTCCAGTGTAGCGTCCACATAAGATCATTATTGTTTCTGCCCATTGCTTGTCCATGTATAAAGGTCTTGGGGAAAGATTGGGTTTACAGTAAACATGTTTAGGTTTATGTATAACATTATTTCTAGGACTTACAACCTTCAAAATAGCTGTTGATAGTTCAACAGTTCACAATACTTATAGCTATGCATACTTTTTATATCTCCTAAATGACCCCTGCATTGCTGTTGTGAAGAAAGATAGTATGAATGTGACCTATAGAATGTTTTATGCAAATATCTAACAACAGGCGGTAGGGTAGCATAGTGGATAAAGCATTCGCTCATCATGCCAAGGGCGCGGATACCATTCACCACATGGGTACAATGTGTGAAGCCCATTTCTGGTGTCCCCTACCTTGGTATTGGGGGAATATTTCTAAAAGTGGCATAAAAATCAGTCAGTCAAACAAACAGACTGAGAAAATTCACCAAATTCCTGAACAACATGTAGTTTGCGTGTTACGTTTGGCGCCTGTGACGTGTCCCTTGCAACAATAAAAAACAAATACCGCTTACAGCATAATCAGCAATTGACAGTCTGGATTGTCTCCCCTTGACTTACATTAATGGACACTAAAACAGATGCCATGGCATTGGCGTTTATATTAAAATAAACTAGGGTTTATTTCTTACAAAAATCAGTCAGTCATTCCCTCTAAAAAACAAGTCAGGTGAGCTACGGTGCCCCATAACGATGCTTGGGGAGAACCATGGCCGGGTGTCCCCACTACAGAACCAAGGAGCAATACCTTGCATGTTGTTTGTTTGTTTGTTGTTTGACGCTGCACTCAGCAATATTCCAGCTATATGACGGCGGTCTGTAAATAATCCAGTCTGGACCAGACAGTCCAGTGATTGACATTGTGATCCAGGCAATAGGGATACAATGACATGCATCAACCAAGTCAGTGAGCCAGACCACCTGATCCCATTAGTCGCCTCTTATGACAAGCATAGTCACATGTATGTGGATATTTCAGGGACTTGCCATGGAAAAGGAAAGAGTGGAAAGCGAGATGAAGCACAAGGAACAAGTGGCCTCCAAGGAGAAGAATGACCTCTCACAGGCCACCACAGAGCTCAGCTCCAAACTGAAGGAGATCGAGATGAAGACTGATTCATTACTGAAGGAAAAGGCAGAGGCTGAATCTAGGTGAGTCAGGATGCTTATCAGAACTATTGGGATTGGGTATTTTTAAGTATCATTTGACTCATTGACTTTTATGATTATGGATTTAAACTGCTAATAGAATATGTCCTCCTTTTTCAGGTTAAAAGAAAATGAAGAAAAAGCCTCACAGTTGGAGGAAGAGAAGCAGAACTTCAGTGAACATGCACAGGAGCTGCAGTCTACAATAAAGGTAATAGAAACATTTGACAATCTGAGACAACCCCTTTCAGTTATGGGTATAGGGTTGGCATGTGGTCTTAGTATGCTGTGCAGGGGTGCCTCCCTTGGCCATGACAGGACTCACTGTGTGTGTTATGGAGATAGGGTTGCCATGTGGTCTAAGTATGCTGTGCAGGGGTGCCTCCCTTGGCCATGGCAGGACTCACTGTGTGTTATGGCGATAGTGTTGCCAAGTGGTCTAAGTATGCTGTGCAGGGGTGCCTCCCTTGGCCATGACAGGACTCACTGTGTGTGTTATGGCGATAGTGTTGCCAAGTGGTCTAAGTATGCTGTGCAGGGTTGCCTCCCTTGGCCATGACAGGACTCACTGTGTGTGTTATGGAGATAGTGTTGCCAAGTGGTCTAAGTATGCTGTGCAGGGGTGCCTCCCCTGGCCATGACAGGACTCACTGTGTGTGTTATGGAGATAGGGTTGCCATGTGGTCTAAGTATGCTGTGCAGGGGTGCCTCCCTCCGCCATGACAGGACTCTCTGTGTGTGTGTTATGGAGATAGTGTTGCCAAGTGTTCTAAGTATGCTGTGCAGGGGTGCCTCCCTCCGCCATGACAGGACTCACTGGGTGTGTGTTATGGAGATAGTGTTGCCAAGTGGTCTAAGTGTGCTGTGCAGGGGTGTCTCCCTTGGCCATGACAGGACTCACTGTGTGTGTGTGTTATGGAGAGAATGTTGCCATGTGGTCTAAGTATGCTGTGCAGGGGTGCCTCCCTTGGCCATGACAGGACTCACTGTGTGTGTGTTATGGGGATAGGGTTGGCATGTGGTCTAAGTATGCTGTGCAGGGGTGCCTCCCTTGGCCATGACAGGACTCACTGTGTGTGTTATGGAGATAGTGTTGCCAAGTGGTCTAAGTGTGCTGTGCAGGGGTGCATCCCTTGGCCATGACAGGACTCACTGTGTGTGTTATGGAGATAGTGTTGCCAAGTGGTCTAAGTATGCTGTGCAGGGGTGCCTCCCTTGGCCATGACAGGACTCACTGTGTGTGTTATGGAGATAGTGTTGCCAAGTGGTCTAAGTATGCTGTGCAGGGGTGCCTCCCTTGGCCATGACAGGACTCACTGTGTGTGTTATGGAGATAGTGTTGCCAAGTGGTCTTAGTATGCTGTGCAGGGGTGCCTCCCTTGGCCATGACAGGACTCACTGTGTGTGTTATGGAGATAGTGTTGCCAAGTGGTCTAAGTATGCTGTGCAGGGGTGCCTCCCTTGGCCATGACAGGACTCACTGTGTGTGTTATGGAGATAGTGTTGCCAAGTGGTCTTAGTATGCTGTGCAGGGGTGCCTCCCTTGGCCATGACAGGACTCACTGTGTGTGTGTTATGGAGATAGTGTTGCCATGTGGTCTAAGTGTGCTGTGCAGGGGTGCCTCCCTTGGCCATGACAGGACTCACTGTGTGTGTTATGGAGATAGGGTTGCCATGTGGTCTAAGTATGCTGTGCAGGGGTGCCTCCCTTGGCCATGACAGGACTCACTGTGTTTGTGTTATGGAGATAGTGTTGCCATGTGGTCTAAGTATGCTGTGCAGGGGTGCCTCCCTTGGCCATGACAGGACTCACTGTGTGTGTTATGGAGATAGTGTTGCCAAGTGGTCTAAGTATGCTGTGCAGGGGTGCCTCCCTTGGCCATGACAGGACTCACTGTGTGTGTTATGGAGATAGTGTTGCCAAGTGGTCTAAGTATGCTGTGCAGGGGTGCCTCCCTTGGCCATGACAGGACTCTCTGGATGTGTTATGGAGATAGTGTTGCCAAGTGGTCTTAGTATGCTGTGCAGGGGTGCCTCCCTTGGCCATGACAGGACTCACTGTGTGTGTTATGGAGATAGTGTTGCCAAGTGGTCTTAGTATGCTGTGCAGGGGTGTCTCCCTTGGCCATGACAGGACTCTCTGGGTGTGTGTTATGGCGATAGTGTTGCCTAGTGGTTTAAGTATGCTGTGCAGGGGTGCCTCCCTTGGCCATGACAGGACTCACTGTGTGTGTTATGGAGATAGTGTTGCCAAGTGGTCTAAGTATGCTGTGCAGGGGTGCCTCCCTTGGCCATGACAGGACTCACTGTGTGTGTTATGGAGATAGTGTTGCCAAGTGGTCTAAGTATGCTGTGCAGGGGTGCCTCCCTTGGCCATGACAGGACTCTCTGGATGTGTTATGGAGATAGTGTTGCCAAGTGGTCTTAGTATGCTGTGCAGGGGTGCCTCCCTTGGCCATGACAGGACTCACTGTGTGTGTTATGGAGATAGTGTTGCCAAGTGGTCTTAGTATGCTGTGCAGGGGTGTCTCCCTTGGCCATGACAGGACTCTCTGGGTGTGTGTTATGGCGATAGTGTTGCCTAGTGGTTTAAGTATGCTGTGCAGGGGTGCCTCCCTTGGCCATGACAGGACTCACTGGGTGTGAGTTGACATCCTAGATTTGCCTCTAATGATGATTCTTCATCACCATTCCTGTTGATTTGTGCTCTTGTTGACTACCACCATTAACTCACTTGGCCATCAACTCACCACTAACTCACCCTTCCACTAAGCCACCCACCACCTCACCAATCCATTAAGCCACCCACTACCTCACTCATCCACTAAGCCAATCACCAACTCACCCATCCTTTAAGCCACCCACCAACTCACCCATCCACTAAGCCACCCACCACCTCACCCCTCCACTAAGCCACCAACCAACTCACCCATCCACTCATCCACCATCCAACTCACCCATCCACTAAGCCACCCGCCACCTCACCCCTCCACGAAGCCATCAACCAACTCACCCATCCACTCATCCACCAACCAACTCACCCATCCACTAAGCCACCCACCACCTAACCCCTCCACTAAGCCACCCACCACCTCACCCCTCCACGAAGCCACCAACCAACTCACCCATTAAATAAGCCACCCACCACCTCACCCCTCCACGAAGCCACCAACCAACTCACCCATCCACTCATCCACCAACCCACTCACCCATCCACTAAGCCACCCACCACCTCACCCCTCCACGAAGCCACCAACCAACTCACCCATCCACTCATCCACCAACCAACTCACCCATCCACTTAGCCACCCACCACCTCACCCCTCCACGAAGCCACCAACCAACTCACCCATCCACTCATCCACCAACCAACTCACCCATCCACCAAGCCACCCACCACCTCACCCCTCCACGAAGCCACCAATCAACTCACCCATCCACTCATCCACCAACCAACTCACCCATCCACTAAGCCACCCACCACCTCACCCCTCAACGAAGCCACCAACCAACTCACCCATCCACTCATCCACCAACCAACTCACCCATCCACTAAGCCACCAACCAACTCACCCATCCTCTAAGCCACTCCTAAATGGCTGAAATAATGCCGATGTGACGTTACATTTTAACTCACTCACTCTAAGCCACCAACCAACTCACGCATCCTCTAAGCCACACACCAACTCACCCAGTGGGTAGTGGTTTCCACGGTCACTGCACCAAGGAGTCCCGACTGATGCCTCTGTTTGCTTGCAGGACCTTGTCACACAGAAAGAGATTACAGAGAAAGAACTCAGGGTGAGTAACTCCATCTCATACAGCGATGTGTGCAGGTGTTTCTAAAAGTAAAAAGGTGATTGTTACATTGTTTCTAAGATGCTCCGACTGTACTTCATCCTATACTTATTGAGTTACATCACAATGAGCAGACGTCAACTTATTTCCCATGATCTAGAGTATCCATGGTAACATCATTCTTTCATTACTGTCAACCAAGATGGCCCATCCACAATTATCAATGGGTGAAATAGTTCCTTCAATTGAATATTATTCCCTGGTACGAAATAAGGCAAGATGATTGTCAACCATCTCTAATGATATATAACCCAAACCTACTCAAACAATTAAGTTGTCTGAAGCGGGCGCTGGCTCCCAAGAATTGTGCCTGTCTCTGGAACAGAGGAATAAGAAATCATTGTGCTTAACTATAGGGCAAAACTATAGTTTATTACTCTACTCCATCTGTAGCATTGACATTGAAGTAGAACTTTGTGTTTGTTCACTGTATAGAGTAAGAAACATAAAAAGAAATAAACTGAAAATATCTCCATCTCACTGATTTTGATGTCAGCAGCTCTCAACAGAGTATAACTTGTATCTTGTGGATCATCGATTCATTGGAGCCGTGAGGCAATGTTAGTATGAAATAGTCCAGATTGTATACAAGGAACTTTGGATTCCCAGGAAACATTTTGACTGTTTACTTTTACTGTTTACGGGAAGATTAGGTCCCCAGCATCTGATTAAGTCAAAAGTATCCCTACCACACAGGACCAAGTGGTCATCAGACTCTGTGACTTGGCTGATTGCATGGATCATTGCTCATGGTTTCAGTCGGTAGTTCCAGGCTAATATATGTGTAGGTGTAAACAATTAATGTTTCTGGGTAAAAAAATGTCCGGAAGGAAAGAAGAATCATATGGGAATATATTCCAGTGCTAGTAAGATACTGGCTGTGGAAATAGTATCCTTGCGAAACAATCGGTTCCAGATTAAGACAAGTGTTATCTTCTCTTCAGTGGGACCACATGTAATTTCAAAACACAGTAGGTTTATCTCCTGATTCGGGGCAGTCGGGGAGCCTAGTGGTTAAAGTGTTCGCTCGTCACGACGAAGACCTGGGTTCGATTCCTCACATGGGTACAATGTGTGAAGCCCATTTGTGGTGTCCCCCGCCATGAAATTGCTGCAAACCAAATTAACTTACTCACTTGTCTCCTAATTCACTGACTGACTGTACCTTGTGCCCCAGGAGGAGATCAGGGCGCGGCTGTCCGCGGAGACAAAGCTGCAGGAGGCTGAGCGGTCACTGAAGATCCTGGAGCGTGCCGTCGCAGACAAGACCAACAACATCGAGGATGACGTCAAGGAGGAGATGACTTTCAATGTCCAGAAACTCAAACGTCAGTTACTTTGATGTTCCTGTTCTGTCTGGCTTGGTGATGTTGATTATAGAGTAGTGCTTTGTTGGAATAGAGTTCATGGTAAACAGGCTTCAGGAATCTCCTAAATGACTTCACTTTGCATGTGTTACTGCTGGAAAGTAGAAAGTTTGATTTCACTTTTCTTGTGAACAATGTGGAAAAATGACGTTTCAGTACAGACTACATCGTTTTTACCGAGGTATATCTCTGTGTCAAGTGTCTGCCTGGACTTCAGAATGTGACCACTGACTTAAACATACGCAAGAATTATTCATATGTACAGAAATATTCCTGATATTCAAGGACTGAAACTAGTACTAAAATGGAATGGTTTGTGATTAATACAAGACTTGTTGCTCTTGATAACCAAACTCAGGTGAAATATATTTTTTTCAAAATTTAGGACAAGATTTTCCCTGCGTGAGAAGTGGACAGGGTCGACTCCTGAGGCATATTAATAATGCTTTGGGAGAATATCAGTTCTTGCAGGTGTAGTGATATCAAAGATTTCAAATTTAAGCATTTTTTTGCCATTATGTGTGGGAAGTTATTATTCTCCTTGTGCTGTTTCAGAATTCTTTGAGGATCTGGCAGCAGAAGCTAAACTGTCAGCAGATCAGCCAATCATTATGAAGAATGCAGTGTGTGCCAGGAAAACAATGGCTAGACGAGCCAAAACAATGAAATTTACAAATCGAAAAAGATCTAGCAGTAAGTATGTTTATAATGAGGTGAACAGAACTGCAGTTTTAATGCAGTGTTCCAGTTGCTTTATTTATCTTAAGTGTAATTTAGATTTTAGATTTGTATATATATATATTTTTATATCATATGCGAAATACTTGATACAGGTAATATATTTACAAATTAAGAAAGTGTAGCTTGAGTTGTATTGTTAAAGTAAGGGAGGTAACTCTGTTTTTCTTTGACATCATACAAAGTTGATGATTGTTTTTTGATTCTCAATTCAAAGTTTTTATTTTTTGTCTTACTTATCGTGTCATATGATATATTGATCTTTTTCTTATCATGTTATATATTTTTTCATCTAATCATTCTGCTTCATATTAACATCATTAAAAGAAATATATGCCTTCTTTTTCAAATATCTTCTCACATAACTTTCTTTATGTCCAATCTCACTTACCCGGTATCTTAGGCCCCTCTGGAATAGATTAGGTAGATCCCCATTTCCAATGCTTCTCTTAAAAGATGACAGAAATGGGGATTGGGTGGTGACAATGGCCTGTTACCACTGGTTATGGCTAATACCTTGATTGTCGATAACATTAGTGTCATCAGACCTCAGTGGTATGGGTGTGTCACCACACTGTCCACCCTGGTTTGTCTGCTCCAGACACGGCCCAGGGGTTTATCTAGACCTCTTCAGAAGCCGATATTTGACCTCAAATCCACAACAATTGTCAGTAAATATTCACAAATGTGAATTAAAACATTTATGTAAATATAGATATAACTAATGTGACTTGTATGCCATTGATAACAGGACCCAAAAAAGAGGAAAAGGCTTAACTATACATTATTTTATTGAATGCAGTGTTGAATATCTCTGGAAATAAGAACTTTTAAATAATCCCAAGTTTAACCAAGTAACAAGTCTTTCTCAATTTGCCTGCTAAAGGCACTGAGTTTGGAATCTTAGATAATCCCTGTAACAATGATTGAAATGTTGCCGTCCAACAGCTGCAATTCTTGCTGACAACAGCGTAATTCCCCATTCCTTCACTCAAGTAACTCTCTAAGAGTGTGGTGGATTATTAAGCTCATCGCTTTACTAACAGAGGTTCTGTATATATCTGACTTTAACATGTATACGCCTTACCCTCATCTCTCACAATCAGGCTCCTTATCAACATCTCTAGCTGGGTCCTTGAATGTGGCGGCATCTGACACGATGCTGTATAGCACTCTTACCATCTAGGTAACACACCTGCCCTTTGTTGTGTCTGCTCATACTAGTAGCCGTGCTACTACTTTTGCTCTAACACCAAGCGTCAGCTGGCACAATAACTAACACTTCTGGTCAGGTGTTCTGTACATGGTATGGGATTGATCAACTGATGTTAACATTTTGCGTACCTGTAATAATATGGAGGTGTGATGGCAGGTGCAGATCAAAACAGGTCAACCTCTATTATATGTTATGTTATTAAGACATTAATGTGTTGCCTATACAATTTTATATATATTATTAAGTATGTATCATATCCCAATCAGTCTGGAAGCATGCTTGATGTAGTTTGGTTAGATATTGAAAATGGTTTTGAAAAAAGAACTTAAAAACAAGGCTAGAATTGTTTGATAGCAATGCTCCAAAACATAATTCTTTTAAACCCTTTTTGCTAATAGAGATATACTGATGTGCTCCTTTGAATACATATTTATGTGTTTGTTAATAATATTCCCATAAATAATTTAGAAAAAAAAAAGAAAAAGATTTTTAATTATTTGTTCTCATAAATCTTTATTTTGTAAAATTATCAAACATTGATCCAAGCCTTAGTCAGAATGGTATCATTTTCACGACAAATCTTATTTTTCCACCAGCTTTTCTGATTGTGGTAAAGGTACGCTTAGACTGATGCGACATTTTGCATGATTCCTATGTGTATATATAGATGTATGCGCTACTGCTGCTGCTGCTGCTGAAGCTGGTGTGACCCAAGCCTGCTGTGTTGTTACTGTCACAGGACTTATAGGGCTGCTTTAGTAGCAGGGTATATATGTCCGACGATTCTTGAGTTCCACATTGCTGTCTTTTCTTGTTGGACATCTCCATGTTGGCTGCTAGTGAACTCACTAGCTCCGTAAAGAACTGAATGTCGAAAGGATGGTTGAGACTTAATATATTTGGGCCTCAGGCGTTCTTTCATAGGTTAATCTCCTCTTGATGAACATATTTTACTTTGCTTTTAGACATGAAGTAAATACACCTGGGCACCAGCACACTTTTACAACACTAAACACATGCCACCAATGTGCACCTTTTGTTTCAAAATTGTCCCCCTGGATTAAAGTTTGGTTTTGGACTGAGTGATTATGTCTACTGGTATTCATGTCTCAGTGGCATACCTGTACATGACCATTATTCATCATAAATTGAATAAAAGTTAATGTGAAATTTTTTTTGTTACTGTCAAAATTCTGTTTAATGATTATGTGGATAAGTTTGAATGTATGTTCAGTTTGTGTAACAAGTAATTGCTTGTCAGCCTGACTTGTTTAGTCAACTGAATGTCCAGTGATTAAAGAACAGTTAGTGGGCTCTGGAATCTGAAGCAATAGCTGTTATTTCTTGCAACTTCCCTTGAAAACAGTTAAGTCTTTAGAGATAGTATAATCAGATTATGTTGTAGGTGCTTTAATTTGAGACTTAATGACAATATATACTACTCTGAAGAAGTTAAGGAACACCCATGACAGATAACTATAGAAGTATGAACGAATCCTGTGTTCTTTAACTTCTTTTGAGTGGTATATATTCCTTGCTCTTTTTTTTCAATTAGACTTTGTTTACAGCTATAAGACGATTATTTCACAATAATTTGAATAATAATGCATTTAAATCTCACAAAAATGAAGTCTAATTATTACATAGCCCACACAACGGAGCACTCTAGTACACTAATAACATTGCACATAGGAACAGAAAGCTGGTATCAGATCAGCTTGATGACACATTATTTCAGAGCGGTACAGTCGGAAAATTCAATACAAAGCAGGCAAATTTTCACATTTCATTTTGGACATTTCTCTGGGTGGTAATTAATAAGTTGGATGCCATATATTATTATTTGTCAAGGGTTTATGTTTAATTCTATCCTCATTGACATACATGTCAGGTAGAATGAGGCAACCTATAACACAGAATCAGACCACTGCTATTGTTCAGTGGGGGCGGTTGGGTAGCCTGGTGGTTAAAGCGTCCGCTCGTCACGCTGAAGACCTGGGTTCGACTCCCGACATGGGTACAATGTGTGAAGCCCATTTCTGGTGTCCCCCGCCGTGATATTGCTGGAATATTGCTAAAAGCGGCGTAAAACCATACTCACTCACTCACTCACTATTGTTCAGCGCTTCCTCCTTATTGCAAGAGTCTTTGACAGACATTCTAGTTCTTATGGTACCTTTAACATGAGGCAAACTCACTCTGTCTATAAGGTATGAAGAAAGACTTACAAAGATATTTTGAGTAACCACTAAAACTTTATATAGCTGAAAAAGCAAAAAAATACAACAGATGAAACCATTTTCTTTGCTTAAACCTGCCACATCACCTTCTGTAGAGAATTGTAGTCATCACCTTCTCCCCCACAACACCTTCATCTCCACTTGATGTGTTGCCACTTCCATTTAAAACACATGCAATGCAAGTGTAATCTTTTAGCGTAGATCTTTTTCTCACCGTTACCTAAGAGAGGGTGGCCAGCCAGTCGTGCTGTGTTGCCATGGAGGTTTGTGTTTTTGACTGACGCCAAGTATTATGCTTGTTGTTGCTGATGAGTTGTTCAAGTGTTTTGTGTGTGACAGTCTTTCAGGTGAAATTCTGATCCAGGAATTCGTAGGTACCTATAACCAATGTTGTTCCAGTTGAACTTGCATGGACACTGTATTCCACAAGCTAATATGTATATACATTGATGTTTAGTGTCAGTCCTTTGCAGTGGTCACTTGTGTTGAGGACAAAATATGTTGATGTGGCATCCACAAAGTCATTCTTGTTCAAAGGTTCCGAAAGGCGTATTGGAACTAAATGCCGACACTTCCTGTCAACTCCATCCACTGCAAATAAAAAATTGTACATGTACATGTAAAAGGAAAATCTTCAATGTGAAAAACATTGCTGTTTCTTTATAATATGTAAGAGTATGTTCTTAATACAAAGCAGGGTATCACTTTACAGAAACTACTTAAGAAAGAAGTACCTTTCACCGTGCAGAGCTGTATTATTGCTGGAAAAGCAGATAATGTTAACAGAATATCGTAAGATTGCATTTAGTGATTTTATAATAGAATATCAATCCTAAGTTTGTGGATGATAAAGGATTTGTTTAACTAAACATACTTATGAAAATTAGTTAGGTATTTACAGTCTTTTGGACATAACATGTTTGTTTGAATTTACCTGACTTCAGATAAGTATGTGACTGAGCTGTAGGAGGTTAGCTTCACCTGGTGACCACTGTATGGGTTGATGGACTTGAGAATGTTGTGAGCGGGAGTCATTGTTTTGAAGAGTTTCCTTTTCCCCCTAATCACCTGTGACATAGTAATCGTAGTCCTGGCTTCAAAACAGTGACAATGCTCCTTACATAGTTTGTCAAATTTTCTGTTTGTTATTTCATCTTTGAAAAATAGGTTACACAGTATTATTTGTTGAAATTAAGTCAGTGACACTCCATTCACTACCTGAACAAGGATTTATTTTCATCACAGAAAATTTGACAAATGCTTCAGTTATTTATGAGAAACATCAAATTTGTTTTTTTTATTTATGCATGTTATATAAGTGGTGATATGTACATATTCACAAACCTTTGCATGAAATATGTTACGTAATCAGAATATGTACTGATGTTGTTGTTTACTTGTCGTCCATCTAAGCATGGTTTCTTTTGATTTTAATAACATTTTGATAAAAAGAAAACCATTGTAAACATTCACAATATTCACATTTTTTTCAGTGTTAATGTAAAAAATATCACAGTTGTCACAAAATCTTATACGAAATCTAAAAAATTATCGAAAATTTTACTGAAATATGAATGCAATAAACAGAATATGGGTTCCAAAGAAGATCTCGAGTATTTAGTGAAGACAAAATCTGTGCATGGGCGGATACAGAGGGGGGGTGAGCGGGTGCGTGGGTGCGCACCCCCCCCTTTTTATTTCGAAAAAAATCTTTATTTCTGTATAAATTACAACCAAAGACAATAAATAGATCTTAATTGTGCACCCCTCTTTTTAAAAAAAGCTGTATCCGCCCATGCTGTGTATGAGATCTCCAGTATATTAACAAGGCAAAGTTTGTAAATGAGATCTCGAGTATATTGACAAGATCTTGAATATTTTGCCAAGGCCAAATCTGTGTATGAGATCTCAAGTATATTAATCAGGCAAAGTTTGTGTATGAGATCTCGAGTATATTTACAAGGCAAGGTTTGTGTATGGGACGTGGAGCATCTGAAGGCAAGGTTTGTGTATATGAACATTTGCCACCTAGACTGGTTCCCTTCTTATCCCGTGGTGTTGTTACCTCCCCAGGTCTCGACGCGCCGAAAGGTAATCGTAGTGAGATGTAGGCGTGTAGTCACCAGCAAATCTGATTGGTAATGGCCGAGTCCACCTTCCTCTGACGTTGCGCACAATGCACCAAACTATACAACGCTCTTCCACAAAGCAATTTTTACACTTTTTGTCAGAGATGCCCTTGTAATATTCAGAATACAGGAACCTGTAGAATTCTTGTGTTTGGGAGACTGGTATTTGTTTTGGCTTGTTCCTGTGGGGGTTCCAGATTAGGATTGGTGCCAAGAAACTTTGCTGGTCGTAAGAGGCGCCAAATGGATCTGGTGGTCAGGTTGGGTTATTTGGTTGATTGTGTGTCATCGTACCACAGTGGCATGGATCGTTGCTCATAATATCGATCACTTGATTGTCTGGCTCAGACATGATCACTCACAGGTCGCCCATCAGATAGCTGGAATAATGCTGAGGATGGAATTAAACAACAAACAAACAAACAAACAAACAGACAAAGTAGGATTGTTACTTTAGCTGATTTTACTGTACAGCTGGGGGCGGTCGGGTAGCCTTACCGCTTAAAGCGTTCGCTCGTCACGCCGAAGACCCAGGTTCGATTCCTGACATGGGTACAATGTGTGAAGCCCATTTCTGGTGTTCCCCGCCGTGATATTGCTGGAATATTGCTAAAAGCGGCGTAAAACCATACTCACTCACTCACTGTATAGCTGACTCTTGCTTAGCAACTTTTTTACTTTTTTCACAAAAGCAACTTCTATCAATTAGGGAGTTCCAAAGTTTCCATCACCAAAACATGCGATATGATCGTGTTCATGCACCACCCAGGTCCACACTAAGATATACAGCCTAGTCATGTCACATGCTGATTTATAGAACAGCAATTAATTGGTTCATAAATACATGTTGTATGCAATATTTGGCAAACCATGTTCAAGAGGATTGTGTGGTTGTGTGAATAAGCTGATCACTTGCATTCAGTGAGAGGTGATCCGTCATTGGATTGTTTATACAGTTTCCTGTATCGCTAAATGTTCAAGTTATCCATGAAAGGTAACCTAGGAGACACAGACAATGTATCTACCGGGTAGTAACCAAGAGTTTTAATGATAATTGGCTTCAAACATCTAAGACTTGCATCACTTTGGGCTTTCCCTCCACATCAAGCTCACACACCGTGATATAACTGGCATTAAACCCAACTCACTCACTCACTATCAGGCTGATACACAGTAAAGCACCAGACCAGAACCAAACAAAAGTGTCAATCCTGTTTTCTTCCAACTCTGTTATGCAAGAGTCAACAGTATTGTTGATGCCCCCAAAGACATAGGATAAATATCAGATTAAAAAAGTGGCTATCAAATTAAAGATTAAAGATCGACAACCAAGTTGAAGTGACTGGTTCTTTGTATGTCGTCTCCTTGTATTCGATGCCCCCCCCCAGATCTTGAGAACATGTACTGATTGAACCATGCTTGAATGTTTGTGATCAAGAAGTTATTGCTTAGTGGAAGAGCGTGTTGCCAGTTTTGTGTACATATGATCTTGGTTCCAATTTCTGAAAGAAGCAAAACAGTGCAATTTGATCTATCAGAACCTCACTTGCTTCCAATTCACTTAATTTTTTTGTCATTTTTGACATCATGACAATTTTAGCACTGAGGTAGTTTACAGCATAAGCAATTCACTTGCATTAGCTCTCATTCACCCTCATTCACTGAGTGCACAACAGAACAGATTGGATTTATTTTTTGACAGTTGTGCAGAATACTTTGAATTTAATCATGCTAAGGGCTAAGGTCTCTCAACTCCCTGACAGGTGACTGTAAGCTTTCAGATTTGCTGTTTGACTGCAGGGAATACGGTGTTTTTCCTGAATGCTCCCTACCCTGTTTAGCTGTTTAGCATCTCTCCATACACAGCTAGCAATATCTATATGTATATAACACTGTCATGCGATATATTGGTTGAGAATACCAATTTTGATTTTGTTTGCTCCAGGATAATCTTGTAAATTGATATTGAAGTAAGAGCATGCCTTTATAGTCTCCTGTTTGTTTTGTTTCTCAATATCCTGTAAGCACTGGCCTTTGTGTTTTGATGGATTATTCACAGTATCCTAAAGCACTGGTATTTTTGTTTGGATTGTGATGTGAGTTATAATGTTAAAATGGTTGCACTCTTGTGTTGTTGCACTAATGCATGCTACCTTCTTTACTAAGATGATAACTAACCAGTATGTTTGTGTTCATCAGCTTGCAATAGAATGTTAACTGTAGAATTAGATGTGATAGATGTAGAGTTTGAGACTATCTTTGTTAGTTTTTGTGTTCTCCCAGTACCTCCATCATGCTTGTCATGAGGGGCCACACAATGGGATAAGGTGGTCCCACTGACTACTGAGTATGTGGGGATTCTGGGGCAAAGTGTTCCCCTGTATCTCTGCTTGTGGTAAGATGAATTGAACCAGGATTGGCAGGTTACAGTATGTGGGGATTCTGGGGCAAAGAGTTCCCCTGTATCTCTGCTTGTGGTAAGATGAATTGAACCAGGATTGGCGGGTTACAGTATTGGGGATTCTGGGGCAAAGTGTTCCCTGTATCTCTGCTTGTGGTAAGATGAATTGAACCAGGATTGGCAGGTTACAGTATGTGGGGATTCTGGGGCAAAGTGTTCCCCTGTATCTCTGCTTGTGGTAAGATGAATTGAACCAGGATTGGCAGGTTACAGTATTGGGGATTCTGGGGCAAAGTGTTCCCCTGTATCTCTGCTTGTGGTAAGATGAATTGAACCAGGATTGGCAGGTTACAGTATTGGGGATTCTGGGGCAAGTGTTCCCCTGTATCTCTGCTTGTGGTAAGATGAATTGAACCAGGATTGGTAGGTTACAGTATGTGGGGATTCCGGGGCGAAGAGTTCCCCTGTGTCTCTGCTTGTGGTAAGATGAATTGAACCAGGATTGGCAGGTTACAGTATGTGGGGTTTCCGGGGCAAAGAGTTCCCCTGTATCTCTGCTTGTGGTAAGATGAATTGAACCAGGATTGGTAGGTTACAGTATGTGGGGTTTCCGGGGCAAAGAGTTCCCCTGTATCTCTGCTTGTGGTAAGATGAATTGAACCAGGATTGGTAGGTTACAGTATGTTGGGATTCTGGGGCAAAGAGTTCCCCTGTATCTCTGCTTGTGGTAAGATGAATTGAACTAGGATTGGTAGGTTACAGTATGTGGGGATTTCGGGGCAAAGTGTTCCCCTGTATCTCTGCTTGTGGTAAGATGAATTGAACCAGGATTGGCAGGTTACAGTATGTGGGGATTCCGGGGCAAAGTGTTCCTCTGTATCTCTGCTTGTGGTAAGATGAATTGAACCAGGATTGGCAGGTTACAGTATTGGGGATTCTGGGGCAAAGTGTTCCCCTGTATCTCTGCTTGTGGTAAGATGAATTGAACCAGGATTGGTAGGTTACAGTATGTGGGGATTCTGGGGCAAAGAGTTCCCCTGTATCTCTGCTTGTGGTAAGATGAATTGAACCAGGATTGGTAGGTTACAGTATGTGGGGATTCTGGGGCAAAGAGTTCCCCTGTATCTCTGCTTGTGGTAAGATGAATTGAACCAGGATTGGTAGGTTACAGTATGTGGGGATTTCGGGGGCAAAGTGTTCCCCTGTATCTCTGCTTGTGGTAAGATGAATTGAACCAGGATTGGCAGGTTACAGTATGTGGGGATTCTGGGGCAAAGTGTTCCTCTGTATCTCTGCTTGTGGTAAGATGAATTGAACCAGGATTGGTAGGTTACAGTATGTGGGGATTCTGGGGCAAAGTGTTCTCTTGTGTCTCTGCTTGTGGTAAGATGAATTGAACCAGGATTGGCAGGTTACAGTTTTTGGGGATTCCGGGGCAAAGTGTTCGCCTGTATCTCTGCTTGTGGTAAGATGAATTGAACCAGGATTGGCAGGTTACAGTATTGGGGATTCTGGGGCAAAGTGTTCCCCTGTATCTCTGCTTGTGGTAAGATGAATTGAACCAGGATTGGCAGGTTACAGTATTGGGGATTCTGGGGCAAAGTGTTCTCATTTATCTCTGCTTGTGGTAAGATGAATTGAACCAGGATTGGTAGGTTACAGTATGTGGGGATTCCGGGGCAAAGAGTTCCCCTGTATCTCTGCTTGTGGTAAGATGAATTGAACCAGGATTGGCAGGTTACAGTATGTGGGGATTCCGGGGCAAAGAGTTCCCCTGTGTCTCTGCTTGTGGTAAGATGAATTGAACCAGGATTGGCAGGTTACAGTATGTGGGGTTTCCGGGGCAAAGAGTTCCCCTGTATCTCTGCTTGTGGTAAGATGAATTGAACCAGGATTGGTAGGTTACAGTATGTGGGGATTCTGGGGCAAAGAGTTCCCCTGTATCTCTGCTTGTGGTAAGATGAATTGAACCAGGATTGGTAGGTTACAGTATGTGGGGATTCTGGGGCAAAGAGTTCCCCTGTATCTCTGCTTGTGGTAAGATGAATTGAACCAGGATTGGTAGGTTACAGTATGTGGGGATTTCGGGGCAAAGAGTTCCCCTGTATCTCTGCTTGTGGTAAGATGAATTGAACCAGGATTGGCAGGTTACAGTATTGGGGATTCCGGGGCAAAGTGTTCCTCTGTATCTCTGCTTGTGGTAAGATGAATTGAACCAGGATTGGTAGGTAACAGTATGTGGGGATTCTGGGGCAAAGTGTTCTCTTGTGTCTCTGCTTGTGGTAAGATGAATTGAACCAGGATTGGCAGGTTACAGTTTTTGGGGATTCCAGGGCAAAGTGTTCCCCTGTATCTCTGCTTGTGGTAAGATGAATTGAACCAGGATTGGCAGGTTACAGTATTGGGGATTCTGGGGCAAAGTGTTCCCCTGTATCTCTGCTTGTGGTAAGATGAATTGAACCAGGATTGGCAGGTTACAGTATTGGGGATTCTGGGGCAAAGTGTTCTCATGTATCTCTGCTTGTGGTAAGATGAATTGAACCAGGATTGGTAGGTTACAGTATGTGGGGATTCCGGGGCAAAGAGTTCCCCTGTATCTCTGCTTGTGGTAAGATGAATTGAACCAGGATTGGCAGGTTACAGTATGTGGGGATTCCGGGGCAAAGAGTTCCCCTGTGTCTCTGCTTGTGGTAAGATGAATTGAACCAGGATTGGCAGGTTACAGTATGTGGGGTTTCCGGGGCAAAGAGTTCCCCTGTATCTCTGCTTGTGGTAAGATGAATTGAACCAGGATTGGTAGGTTACAGTATGTGGGGATTCTGGGGCAAAGAGTTCCCCTGTATCTCTGCTTGTGGTAAGATGAATTGAACCAGGATTGGTAGGTTACAGTATGTGGGGATTTCGGGGCAAAGTGTTCCCCTGTATCTCTGCTTGTGGTAAGATGAATTGAACCAGGATTGGCAGGTTACAGTATGTGGGGATTCCGGGGCAAAGTGTTCCTCTGTATCTCTGCTTGTGGTAAGATGAATTGAACCAGGATTGGTAGGTTACAGTATGTGGGGATTCTGGGGCAAAGTGTTCTCTTGTGTCTCTGCTTGTGGTAAGATGAATTGAACCAGGATTGGCAGGTTACAGTTTTTGGGGATTCCGGGGCAAAGTGTTCGCCTGTATCTCTGCTTGTGGTAAGATGAATTGAACCAGGATTGGCAGGTTACAGTATTGGGGATTCTGGGGCAAAGTGTTCCCCTGTATCTCTGCTTGTGGTAAGATGAATTGAACCAGGATTAGCAGGTTACAGTAATGGGGAATCTGGGGCAAAGTGTTCTCGTGTATCTCTGCTTGTGGTAAGATGAATTGAACCAGGATTGGCAGGTTACAGTATTGGGGATTCTGGGGCAAAGTGTTCCCCTGTATCTCTGCTTGTGGTAAGATGAATTGAACCAGGATTGGTAGGTTACAGTATGTGGGGATTCCGGGGCAAAGAGTTCCCCTGTATCTCTGCTTGTGGTAAGATGAATTGAACCAGGATTGGCAGGTTACAGTATGTGGGGATTCCGGGGCAAAGAGTTCCCCTGTGTCTCTGCTTGTGGTAAGATGAATTGAACCAGGATTGGCAGGTTACAGTATTGGGGATTCTGGGGCAAAGTGTTCCCCTGTATCTCTGCTTGTGGTAAGATGAATTGAACCAGGATTGGCAGGTTACAGTATGTGGGGATTCTGGGGCAAAGAGTTCCCCTGTATCTCTGCTTGTGGTAAGATGAATTGAACCAGGATTGGCAGGTTACAGTATGTGGGGATTCTGGGGCAAAGTGTTCCCCTGTATCTCTGCTTGTGGTAAGATGAATTGAACCAGGATTGGCAGGTTACAGTATTGGGGATTCTGGGGCAAAGAGTTCCCCTGTATCTCTGCTTGTGGTAAGATGAATTGAACCAGGATTGGCAGGTTACAGTATGTGGGGATTCTGGGGCAAAGTGTTCCCCTGTATCTCTGCTTGTGGTAAGATGAATTGAACCAGGATTGGCAGGTTACAGTATTGGGGATTCTGGGGCAAAGAGTTCCCCTGTATCTCTGCTTGTGGTAAGATGAATTGAACCAGGATTGGCAGGTTACAGTATGTGGGGATTCTGGGGCAAAGTGTTCCCCTGTATCTCTGCTTGTGGTAAGATGAATTGAACCAGGATTGGTAGGTTACAGTATGTGGGGATTCCGGGGCAAAGAGTTCCCCTGTATCTCTGCTTGTGGTAAGATGAATTGAACCAGGATTGGTAGGTTACAGTATTGGGGATTCTGGGGCAAAGTGTTCCCCTGTATCTCTGCTTGTGGTAAGATGTATTGAACCAGGATTGGCAGGTTACAGTATGTGGGGATTCTGGGGCAAAGTGTTCCTCTGTAGCTCTGCTTGTGGTAAGATGAATTAAACCAGGACAGATAATAGATTACAGTATTGGTTCATTGTGTGTCTATGAGCCCTGATAACACATCATAAGAGTGAATCAGTCTTGAGTGACCATTGTTGTACTTTGGGGGAAATAAAACCCAGGTGTTTGGTGTTGATTGTGTGTTGATGCTATCAACCACTGGTTAGTCAGATGGAGACTCAGTTATTTATAGGCTGCCTTGATTAAGTCTTCATATCATGGGGGATAGTGGTGTCAACAGTCGAACTTGTTACTGTTTATTTTCAGCTTTCTCTCTGTACAGCCAGGCATACACATTATGGTCTGCCAAACATCAAACAAACTGAATTTTTTTTATAGGAAATAAAGAAGCATGATAAATGTTATACATAATCTATGTTAATGTTGCTCTGTATTTAGGCCACCCCAGTTTTATTATAGAGATAAATCGGCTCTGCATGCCCCCTAATCCTTCGACCCCGCCCCATCAACCTCTCCATGAAAAAAACAACATGCATCTGGCCAAGTGCAGTTTAGATACTTGCATGTGCATGTATAAAATTTTGCATGTCAAATATTCATTCAAGAAAAATGTCATTGCAGCTGTGTATATGGATCCCAATATATATACCATCATGTATGCTAGAAAAACAATCTCTTCTGGTCTTAGATACAAAAGCAAAGTCTACAATGGGACGTTAGTGTTCAGATGATTGTATAATAACAGTAGCATGACAACCTTTTTGTAAGAAGACACTGAGCTTCTAATTTGGGCTGGGTCTAACAGTAAACTAAATTGAATGAAGGCCTGGGCTGTAAAGGGAGGTAACCGCATGCTATATTTGATCGTATTGTATTTAGGTATTAGTATTTTTTAATGGTTTTTTTTAAATGGAAATAAAAATGAAACGTGTGGCAGACTTTATGATGATGTGGGCTGTGCCTGAGAAGCAAGACTATTATTTTTTTAGCCTCACCAACCATGTCACAAGCTTTAATCTTTACACTCACAGTTTTCTTCTGCCACGTAATGAAACATGGATAAAATGGTCACATGATCTTAGAATCGTGGCGGTGAGGATGCTGTTAGGACTGGTGCCAGTGATGCTGCAAAGAAAATGTTGTTATTGTTATAGAAATGAAGGATACTTTATGAATTATCCTGGTTGACATCTGTACACTATAGCTGTTCCTTGTCTGACTTCTTATAGTTGTAATGTTTGATTTTGGTAATTGGAATTAATAAATGACATTGCCCCTCTGGTAATAGCAATTTATAATAATAATTGACATTAACTGTTTCTTTTTTTCAGGGAATCGCCCATTAACAATGTGCCTTAAGCCTGAGGGCGGTGTCAAACCCAGCATTGGCATCAAACGATCCGTAACTTCCGTTGACAGATCCGCCAGGGACCGCTTATTCAGTGACCAAGAACCAAAAAGTCCTGACTCTGTTTTATATGAAGATCACCTATGATGAAGAACACCTATAATATTCACTAACGCCTAGATGTTTACAGCATTAAAATCTGTCCGATGTTAGGCCACACTTTTTTTATTTTATGTTTCACGAATTTATTCCTTCTCTCTCACACAAGGTCGGTCAAAATCAAAATCAAAATAGATTTCAATTATTTATTTTATGAAAATCATTCTGCTGTTGAGTTGCAGCTGGCTTCTTGAATCACGGATAGTGATGTAGACATGGAATTTATGTATAACATTTATATTGTATAAAAGGGTCTATATTAGTAGCAGGAGACATAAGAAAAATATATATTTGTATGTTTAATTGATTTCTTAGACCGGCTGCTTTTCAGTAGGGGCAGCAGGCCGTGAAACGAAAAATAAAAAATGTGTGGCCTAAAGGAAATATGTCTTGAGTGTTTCCAAAGATAGACTTGTCTCCCTTTCAGCGCTGTGCATGGTGTTGATGCTTGTATGTTATTGGTGCTGATATAGGATTAGGCTGAACTGTAGGGTATGTTGTGTAAGATGAATAGGTTATGGTAATGAATGATACTGCTGTATCCACTCTCCGAGTTCACTTCTCGTGATTCTAACAGCTTTCAGTTATGTTTGCTTGTAAGTACTGTTAACCTGAAAATTACATAACTTACTGAATCTATATTTAAATATGTATAACTGTTATTTGACTGACTGATGTAAGGTGCAAAATATTATGGACATATTTCCTGTCATACTTGTGAGTCAGGAATAAAAATTATACAAGTTAAGAACAACTGGGGTCTTGGACTCTCATCCTTGTGCTGGCTGCCCTGGTGTAGCATCATAACCCTCATGACAGATCAAGACTCACACACGTCAAATGTCTGTCCGATTTGAGAACATGAAGAGGTATGGCTTGGGCAATGGTAGTTCATGGATGGCTCGCTCATCCTTGTGCTGGCTACCCTGGTGTAGCATCATACCCTGATGACAGATCAAGACTCCCCCCACATGTCAATGCCCCAGGTGAGGAAGATATGGAGCAGTGGTTGGATCAGGTGAGCACAGTACTTCACATGTTATCCTGCGTCCTGCTGCTCCGTCAGCATCACACCTTGACAGTACCAGGTGTAGTCAGGTGTGATCATTTGCTGTGATTTTTCTAATAATATCTAACCCCAGTTCAGTTTACTTATCTTGGATATTTATTGTGTTAACCATGAATGATGGCTGTTGTAAGCTTGATGACCTCGTGTATAAAGCAAACGAACAACTCATAACACTCATGTATAGGTACTTAACTGGACTCGTCCTGCTCCTATGATGTATTATGGTACACCTTTTTGAGACATAGGTTGTTAAATAATCACTAGTGTTGTTAAATGTGAATAGCAAGGGTGCCATGAGGATACTGATGGGGGTATACTGCTTACCATAAAACTACTTAATTTAAAACTATCGGAAGATGCATCAAATTTTTGCTGTACAGGAGTAACATAAAATATCCATAAGAATTACTTTGCATCAATTTGACTATACGAATGTACTTACCAAATATCATACATTTTAAGACACCATTCAAATTAAACTAAATATGATTGGGAAAACTGATCCGAGACATTTTTGTTGACAAAGCCGAAAAAATAATGACTAAACACCCAAATTATACTGATTATTGCCTTGTGTCGACCCCATCAGGACCCTCTAGCATGCTAACAAGTATATTGTTATGTTCAGTACAGGATCAAGTGTCCACAAGTGAGGCTTTATGTTGCTAACAGCTTGCCTTGATTGGCATCAGAAATACATATCAGATACTCAGTGTTCAAGCACAAGAACACGTATCATAGGGCGTGAATCGAACATGTGCACAGCTCTTTCCATAACCTGTGTATGCAGTCATGTCCGTGCAACATGCATTGCTCATTACTTGTGTATTGTCTTTATATTGTCCAAAGTGCAATCACAACTGTGCCATATGTGCAAGTCATATTTCAGCCATACAGAAAGTACCTGTATATGTTATACATGTTCCACCAGTCACCTGTGCAAGTTGGTTGGTTGGTTTGTTGTTTAACGCCGCACTCAGCAATATTTCAGCTCTATGAAGGCGTTCTGTAAATAATCGAGTCTGGACCAGACAATCCAGTGATTAATATCATGGGCATCGATCCACGCAATTGGGATCGATGACATGCATCAACCAAGTCATCGAGCCTGACCACCCGATCCCGTTAGTGTGTGAAGACGTTCCCCACCAGGGAGTTGGCTCACTGCTCCACGACAGTGCTGGTCCGGCTAACTGCAGGTGGGTGGTTGGGTAGCCTCGTGGGTGAAGCGTTCGCTTGTCACGCCAATAGTCCTGGTTCTATCTCCACAGGGGTAAAATGTGTGGAGCCATTTCTGGTGTCCCCTGTCTTAATATTAGTAAAATCGGTGTAAAATCCTACTCACTCACTATCTGTAGGCAGATTATGTGTTAAGAGACCCTCTCTCAGACTATGACTATGGACGATTCGGTTCAACTTTTCATCCATTTAGAACTTGTTGAAACCCTGAGATAATCAAGGTTAGTTCTAAATAATGTAGTTCACTCGTCACGCTGAAGACCCGGGTTCGATTCCCGACATGGGTACAATGTGTGAAGCCCATTTCTGGTGTTCCCCGCCATGATATTGATGGAATATCGGCGTAAGACCATACTCACTCACTCACCCCCCAAATTATGTAATAGACACATGAACATACAATAAGAAGATACACCTAAAATACATCTGAAACTTGAGCCTGGGAACAGTTTAAGATTGTAATATTACTTGATATACTATATATTATGCTGTGTGTTGATGCCATGATGCAGTGTGACGCTTTAATGTAGCTGCTGTGATGTGGATGAATGTTTGTTTGTATACACTGTACTGTCAGTCAATCTTCCAGATAAACTGTCTACCTGGGGATCACATGGTTAAACAGTTTCCCTGGGAGAATATTCATACCAGCTTTTTCTGTCCCGTCACATAAGGCCTACATTTAGAAAACGCTTTGAGAACCTTCAGAATTTGGGAATGGTTAAAAGTAAGAAAATGTTCTGTCTGAACAATCGTCATGATATGGCTGAAATACTGCCGATGTGATGTTAAATCTTAACTCACTCACTCACTCTGTCTGGACTTGGTAAGTTCTTTATGTTCACATCAAATTTGCAATTAAACAATAACTTGTAAAATATTGTTTGGTTGTCTAACTATCCTTTTTCGTTGTCTCACTCCATCCATCAGAGGCATGGAAGAAACGATTTTTGCATGCCCGTGACAAAACTGTTAAATTGTCAGCTTTGTGAAGTGGTATCTATATTGGTATCCATATTGATGTCCAGACAGTTGCTGTAAATAGTCCTGATCATCCATGATGACCGCTATGTAGATATGTAAGTAGACCTCAAGGCTAGTCCTGATCATGTAGTGAAGATGAAGATGGGGAGGCTTCAGTTTATCATTCCTTCTGCCACAGGTTGATAATTAATTAAGAATGTAATTAAATTGATTTGTTTATATATATGTCTAGCTGTAAAAAATTAAGTCATGGGATGTTTTTGCCTTTGTATTGAGACAGGATATTTCAGAATTATTTAGAGTTATGTTGAGGTAATCGGTTGTGAAGTACAATCAGGGAGGTGTGATGATGTAGGAATACAGTGTTTGGGTTTGATTTTCAGTTTGTATGATCCAATGTTCTGTTTGGTTCTGATTGTAAACCGCTGTTCCAGAATCAGGTTTGTTATGATCATCCATATAATCACAAGATGATCAACATGGGGAGATTTTCAAGGAAAATATCAGGAAAAGTCAGGACATATCATTAGTCAAACTGAGACTGGTGAAGTATTTTAACCTCTCTGCGAGCCTTCATTGTGAATATGACAGAAATATAGTATGGAGATGACTAATTTTCAAAGTTTACAAAGTACATCAAATATGTCTGCCTTGGCTGTTTTCCTGTGGTTAGTGTATGTTATGTACCTGCTTTGTTGACCTGGGCCCACTTGCACAAAGCGATCTTAGCGCTAAGATGCTCGTAACTCCCATACTTTAACATAGGCTTACAATAGTTGTAGCGCTAAGATCGCTTTGTGCACGTGGGCCCTGGACATGGAAGTATCAGTTTCCACAACAACAGAAGGAATTTATCAGAATTCGAAGGTTTACAAAGATTCCAGACACAATCTTGTTTTCATTTAGCCACAATACTTTCCACACTGCTTGCACACATATATCAAACAAAATTGACAAACAATTGTAATTTTCCTCATATTTACATCAATTTACTTGGGTAGGTGGGGAAAAAATAATAGAATTTTTCTATTTCAATCAAAATGTTGAATTCTTTGGCTTCTGAGCAGTGTTAGTTGAGTCTGTTGTGGCAGTTTATCATATTTAAAAACAGTTGTTTTGTGGTAAACACTTTAATTTCATTTTGTGATTTTGTGGAATAATGGAAAGTGTATACTTTCCATATTCTAGGCTTGGTGCAATCTGTAAGCTAGTTTGTTTATTTTAAAAGCCTCGTATGTCGATATATAGATACCGGGATCATCACACCTGCTCCTGGTTTACTCTGTACATTTGTGTATCATGTTCTTCCACAGTTGTCTTCTTCCCAGACTTAACGACGTGTTATGCATAGGATATCTGTATAGTAATATATTTTAGAGCAAACTTTAGTTGATTTGTTCTATCTAGCATCATTCCTTTATTCAACAATGTTTTACTTTTCAGAAATACTTTCAGCATTATTTTGTTTGCACTATTCTTGTATTACCATATACAAATTATTATATTTGTATAAACTTTGTTCTCATTTTTCCATTAGGTGTGTGGGACTTTTTGTAAGAAAGTCTTTGTCATTTTATTAAAAAATAATTTGTCATCAGTAATGTTTTATAATCACTCGAAACATTGCACTCCAAATCTCCAGTTCAAGTATCTGTATGTAAATATTGATCTTCACATCTTTAGCTTTAGTTTCTACTTAAGAATTTGTTATGGGAAATTGTCTGTGCACCAAACCTTACAACATTTCGTTTTATTTTATTTTTTTCTTCACGACATTTTGACCTATCTGGAATAAGAGAAATCTTTCAATGTGTATAAAGATCTATGTAAATATTTCATATTTTTTAAATATTTGATGAACAAGATAGGGACATGAGGAACCATTCTATATTTTGTCTTATTGCTGATATGAGTATTTCTGAAATCTTTGATACATGTAATTTTAAAGGGCAAATCGGGTAGCACAGTAGTTGCTGTGGCTGCACATCATGCCTAGAACATGAGTTTGATTCCCATATGGTTACATTGTGTCGAGTACATTAAGTGTGTCTCTGACATTTGCCAACTGTAGTATGATAGGAAAACATCAAAGGTACAATTAAAATAGGCTATCTAACCATTTGTCAAACTTAAAACACTTTTGAATACATCAAAAATTAGGTTATGAAATTAATTCCAATTCGTATGAAACGACACAGTTAGGAAAAAAATGATGATAAAATTTATCATCAGTCATTTTCCTAACTATGTTGTTATTTTGTGGTTACTTTGAGATAAGGGACAGGATATAGATTTGGGGTATGTAGCATGAAGTTTCCACAGGCTTTTGTGGGGTGGTTGGGTAGCCTAGTGGTTAAAGCGTTCACTCATCACGCCAAAGACCCAGGTTCGATTCCCAACATGGGTACAATGTGTGAAGCCCATTCCTGGTGTCCCCCGCCGTGATATTGCTGGAATATTGCTAAAAGCGGCGTAAAACCATGCTCACTCACTCACAGGCTTTTGTCTATCACTAAAATGTTAATAGTTAACATTTGTCTACCTAAGACAAATATTCATCACTGGGCCATTTAGAGTTTTTTTTAACCACCTATATCTGTTCAAGGGGCCAGTCTTTCTACACACTATTGACAAAATTTAGATGAAACACTGAAACCTCAAATTTTGAAATGTCTTTATAAAATATGTATGAAACAAATAATTGATGTGTTTGGACTCTTGCTATGTAATATGACTGAAACCTCAAATTTTGAAATGTCTTTATAAAATATGTATGAAACAAATAATTGATGTGTTTTGACTCTTGCTATGTAATATGACTGGAAGGGTATAGGCCTACATAGTTTTCTGTTCAGGGGAACTGTTCAAAGTTTCTATGCACATCTGCGGTATAATGGGTCATTCATCAGAATTATCTATCAAGACATAAGATACTTGTATGCTATTTTTACACATACACAATGTCTTTCAAGTTGTTGTCACATATCATTAGGTTTAGACTGCAAGGTCAAGAAAGAGAACTCTAATTTTCTGATCTGTAGTTATCTCCCTTGAATAGCTTGTAGACACTTTGAAGATGATCCCAGCTTGGAGTATCTCAGATTGTACAAATATCCTAACTGTGCCACAGCCTGTTTCAATTTGTGATTTGCTCTCCATGGTGCCACATTGATGCAAGAAAGTTTGTTTTGAGTTACCAGTTGTCCAGTGTCCATCCCACCTACCGGTAATACTCTTACAATATTTTCAAATATCACAGTTGAATTTCTGCATGTAAATATTTCAATAGTTTAAAATAGAACTTGAAATACCACTGCTGTATCAGTGTTAGAGAGCTCCTTGACCATGGTAGACGAGAGGACGTCTCATAAAGAATTCCCATAAACAGGTAGCCAGTGTAAGATTTGCAGGGAGGCTCAATGTCTACCATTGTCTTTATTAAAATATACATCATTACATGGAGATTTGTTTAACAAGCTGAAAGTTACTCAGGCAGTTCAAGGAAGATTTTATTTAATGCAAAATATATATATATGACTGATGTATATCTGATGTGAAATTGTATATTCACTTGTGGACTTTGTGAAAAATGTTATTTTCATCTTTATTACATGTACTTATAGAAATTGAGCATTGCCATTTCTAAACCCTTTTTGCCTAAAGGAGCATCCACTTGATTAGTATAGGGGAGGGGGTGGGTATGGGTATTTTCCACAATTCATTTTTTTCGCCACTGCCAACAAACTATTCATTTTGGGCATATTTCTGAACAAACTATTTGTTAAATAAGCTCCTCTCTCTCTCTCTCTCTCTCCCCCCCCCCAAGTTCAAATAGACTCTCCCATTAGAAATTTCTATTTTTTACTGTTAGGGACAGAATTGGGGATGATATGTTTCATGAATGCCTGTTTGAATTGCTTGGATGTACAGAGATGCTGGGGATATGACTAGTTAACTGCTTGATACATTCAGCTGCAGTAGGAATCCCAAGTTGTGGAAGCTAGTCCAATGCAAAAGAATTGACCTGAAATATTACTTTGATAGTTGAATGCATACAGTTATATAACAGTGTGTACACATTTTTCAACTACTAACCCGCATGGGTACAATGTGTGAAGCTTGTTTCTGGTGTCCCCTGCCGTGACATTGCTGGAATATTGCTAAAAGCGGCATAAAACCATACTCACTCACTCACTCACTATTTGACTGGAGGTTATTGATTGTTTTTAGTGCACATTTCAGATTTGAATTGATATAGCAAAATATATTCCTAGTTTCTTTTCTTTTTATAAATAATTGAGTTGGGACTTCTATGAAATATGACAATATCCCCTTCTTCCAACATGGTCCATTTGTTTGTGTTTCTTCAAGAAGCTGACTTGGTTCTCCGAAAAGCTTATTAATTTAGTGAAACAATTCTTGTGAGAAGCCACACGATGTGGAACATAGTGTAAGATCAGGTTTGATAATGTTTTGATAGAAAGTGAGATACTCTTGAGAGACGACTGGAAATTCTGAGTAGCCAAATTTGAGATTATTCACTTTGCCAATCTGTTATATTTTTATTCCAGACCATTGTTAATTGGATGAAACATTGTACATTGTTGTGCAGGTATTGCATATTCCTCAACCACATTATTGTTAAACTGTTTTAGATCATGCAAGAACATTAAAGAGGTGTTGTTTTTGTCAAGAGGTGCTTTTTTGTCTGTTGTTAGCTGTCAGTCAAGTGGGACAGGCATTTGTACTGAGCCCTCCAACTCCTGCTTGATTATGTTATAAGAAGCTACCTGATCACAACAACTGTAACAAAGCAGTCAGTAATCCATGTTATTGTTTGTTTTTTTTTTTGTTTCACACTGCACTCAGCAATATTCCAGCTGTATGGCAGCGGTCTGTAAATAATCAAGTCTGGAACAGACAATCCAGTGATTGACATCATGAGTATCAATCTACGCAATTGGGATACAATGACATGCATCAACCAAGTCAGCGAGGCTGACCACCCGATCCTGTTAGTCGCCTCTTGGCACAAGCATAGTTGCCTTTTATGGCAAGCATGGGTTGGTGAAGACCTATTCTACACTGGGTATCATCCATGTGAACTTGTTATAGGATTTGATTAAGGTAATTTTCTGTTTATTTACAATAAATGTGATGTTCATGATGAAGTGACATATTGCTGATTTGGGTGGTGAACCACACAATCCAGTGATTGAGATCAGCATTTACCTACACAGATGGGATAGGATGACATGCATCAACCAAGTCACAGAGCCTGACCACCCGATCCTGACCACCCGATCCTGACCACCCGATCCCTTTGGTGTCCTCTTACCATATTAGATAGTCGCCTCTTACTGCAAGCATAGGTTGCTGAAGACCTATTCTAATCCGGATCTTCGTGGGGCCTTTCATTGTGACTTTTAGTCCAATGACTTGCTGATAGTTACTGACTTTTACTCTAAGGAACCCAACACATTAGCAACGAAATTGACAAAACTGAATAGAGAGCAGTCATCTATGTTCTACCGTAGAAGATCAATCACCAAAGAATATTGAACGTTTGAGCTAACAAGAATCCGTGGCGTGCAAACATTTCGGGTCACCCCAAAACAAATTTACCCCACTATTACCCGACCCTACCCGGGTACCCACTGTAGGTCTCAGGAGATAGATACAAATGTCCGATTGGGCATAGTTTGACCGTAGCCCTGGCAAAATGTCTTTAGATACTCGTATAAACGATCTGGTCATGCATACACTGAAGTTGACTTAAGTTTTATCTCTATTCAAATTTATATAATCAGAAAGAAATGCGAACAATTTTTGCCATTAAACAATATATCACTTGACTAACCACAGGTCCGGGTAGTCCTTTGGGTATCCGGGTCCTACTCAGGAACCACCGGGACCGCCTCCGTGGTCTACTGGTAGAGCGTCCTCCCGGAGAGCGGAAGGTCCGGAGTTCGATGCCCGGCCGCGTCATACCAAAAGACGTTAAAAGATGGTACTTGTTGTTACCCTGTCTGGTGATCGGCATTAAGGGGCTAAAACAAGGACTGGTCGGCTCGGAGTCAGTATACTGTGTCTGAGTGGGGTATTCATGTTAAACTGCGGCATAGTATCTCAGTGGGCTAGCACTATAAATCGGCATCAGTCCGGACTAGTACAAGCAGCCACACGAACACACACACGTACATGCACGTCGCTATATAAGTGCAGTAATCTTGGACGCGACGTTAAACCCCTATTTCACCTCACTGAGCGCCAGTACAGTTCATTTTGAGAATATAATATCGCTAGCTTAAAATATTTTCAATTGAAAATCAAACATGAAAAACAAAAACAACTGAGAGGTATAATTTCATTTGCTCCTCAATTTATTCATCGATTTTTACCGTTATCGTTCAGGAGGTGTGTAACGATGACGGCGATGTACAGACCTATTTTTGATTGCAGTGGGTCATTACTGATGCAGGCGCCATTCATATTAAACACTGTAATCATGTATTGTGCAGACCGACAATGTGACGCAGAGGTCGCCATAGGAAAACACCACACACAGTTGAATACATTGTTATCGTAGGTAGAACATGAAAGAAATCAGAAACCTTAACGAACGCAAGAAATAAGATCAACAAACCATTGGTGCTTTCATGGCACCGACTTTGGATCTATCTTATCACAGTCATGCATATTTTACTACTTTTACCATGCAAGGTAAAGTCACCCAGTGCCAGTATTGATTGTCCGTGTGTAGCTGTAGATTGCCGAATAGAACATATACATGGCGATCTGGGCCGCCAGCAGCTAGCACACGGTCAGGAGAGCTGGTGGTATGTCAGGTAAGAACGATACTGTTTCTGATGAATATGCATTATTATATTTAGGTAATCCTTTTGATAATTAGCAGAGTAGAAATGTTCGTACGTGAGAGGTTAGCACAAGGGAAAGTGGAAATTAACGTTATAGTTTGTAAACGACCTTGATTTGATATAATTTAACAACAAAGCGTTATGTAATTGAAGTTCACGTCTTTCTTGTATGTTAATGCTGTAGAATCATTTGTTGACGATGCACTTGGATTGTTTTGAAGGAGCTATTCGCACATTTTGATTTCTAGATGTGAAAGGAGAGACTAATATATCACTGGAATTAGGACATGAGGCATACATATATAGGCATGTGGCCGGGTGAAAAGTCATGAGTTTACAGTTTTAAAATTGTTTATAACGGGGTCTGTCAGAAGGATTACAGTTGTACCACGCTGGCCTGATAATGATATAATGACACATTAGTAGTTGAGAACACGAGTAAACGTAAGCTGTAACCATCAAGTGGGTCAGATATTGTTGCCAACCAAACCACGTTACGCACGACGCACTCTGGGTACTGGGAACCTATGCTGACCCGGAGTTAACGGGGGCCATCTTCCAAGAGCAACACGACACACACACATACACACGCACTCACGCACTCACGTACACACGCACACACGCACACACACATGTATATACATATAGCCAATACTGCAATTGTCAGGATCCGCTGGACATCAGTTCGAATCACCGTTCGACACGATTATGACCCTTGATTCAGTAGCATGAAATCACATTTTTCTCTGCATATTCCCTAGAAGGACCAATTTCATTAAAATCTGATCTTAGTTCTCGTTATCGCTAAACAAAGATCTGAGGACATCCCATTAAGGGTCACGTCAGAACGACCTTTCATCCAACCAATCAGAGCGTCGCTTACCAGATCATGAAAGTGACAGTCGGAATGAGTTTTCTAATCATGCAACCACGAAATATTTAATACGGGGTTTTCCGAACGACAGTTACGGGTTTTATGATTATATACATACAATCTAGGCCATCTATAAGCCATTCCAGAATGTTCTTCTTATCAGTTTTAATTTTCTTAATCGAGAATACGTCAAAATAAGTTTCGAAGCGTAGTCGCCAGTTTGAAACTAGTGTCGTAAAGCTCGAGAAAGCTGCCTTCTGATTGGCTAATGTCGATTTCTTGTCAGTCATTTCATTGGTCGTTCAAAATTCGCGAAAGGTCGTTCTGACATGACCCGTAATTGGACGTCCTCAGATCTTTGTTTAGCGGTAGCGAAAACTAAGATCTGATTTTAATGAGATTGTAGAAAGACGTGTCAACACTGATCGAACTATGACCGTCCAATCTAACTGAAGGATGCATGGGTTCTTCGGCCAATCAGCTTTCAGCTTCCTAAACCGAATCGGCTTCATTATTTTACCACCTCGATTCGGAAATGTGCTTTGTAAAATGAAAACCCACACAGAACACAGATGTTCCTTCGACGGTACTTCATTTTGTATGTAGGTGCCATGGCGCTCAGAAACGACAGGATGTATGAAGTATCCTCAACAATATAGTGGCGCCGCCATAGTTTTAGAACATGTCGTCTTAGTTCGTCTTCAGGGTAAAGAAATCAGACATGCTGGTTTGAAAGCTTCGCTCATACCGAAAACTTAGAAGCCTCGACGCTGATTGGCTAAAACATTGACCTAGCGCGACCATTCGTGACCAACTCGTGTTATTCCGGGACAAGCTTCTTGCAATTACGGAAAGGGGCGAGTGGTGACGAATGCTAGCGCGACGTCGTTTGAAGGTGTCCTCAGATCATTTCGCAGATGATTATCATTCTGGAGTAAAAGATCTGATTTGAATGAGATTAATACTTGATTTGTCTTCACCCTTCTCCCTGGATTTTACCAAGAAGTAGGTAAATCACTTTGGGCTTACCTCACACGTTAATCTGACATTGGCCTGATAGAACTGGAATACTCCTAACCCACTCCCTGATGTACTGTTCCCCAGTGTACTGGCGACATTCGCAAGGACTTGTGCAGATTCGTATGTTTAGATAAATCAGGAACAAAAGAACTGGATTAAAACTTAGAGTCTTAAATGATCATGTTTGACAGACACTGTTACATGATTTTCTAAATTATTGCAAGAAGATAATTATGAAGATCTGATTCACATGCTATTTCATAACAACCTAGTTTCCGGGATGAAAGCCTGTCTCGACATGGTCATAGTGGCGAGTTACCTGCTCCTGTCCGCCATCTTGTGTTCAACCCAGACAGAGCCTATGTTCATCAGAAAGACGCCAGAACTGTTCGCCGACTACGACACTACCCAGCTCAACTACGGCGTTGCGGTTAGCGACGTCGACGGCGACGGAGAGATGGAGTGGATTGTAGCTGGGTAAAGCCTTAAACACGAGAAAGATGCAGTACTAGTAGTAGTAGTAGTAGTAGTAGTAGTAGTAGTAGTGAAGCTGGTGGTGCTGGTGGTGGCTAACACCTGGTATCATCACTATCTGATAGGGGCATACAAGGGGCGGTCGGGTAGCCCAGTGGTTAAAGCGTTCGCTCGTCACTCCGAAGACCCGGGTTCCATTCCCGACATGGGTACAATGTGTGAAGCCCATTTTTGGTGTCCCCCGCCGTGATATTGCTGTAATATTGCTAAAAGCGGCGTAGAACCAAACTCACTCACTAATACATACAAAACGTCAACGATTAATCAGTCTCGAATATCAACTGAAACATATTCCACAAGGCGTAAATTATATGAATGGATCACTGAAAATCAGTGATGACACCAGGTGTTCGCGAAAAGGGTAAGCATGTCCTGCCCTACCGGTGGTACGCACCACTCACACAATTTGCTTAAAAAAGTAAGTGTAAAACACATGCTTATGACAACATCCGATTTAGACTATCTCTAAAATTAGGAGATTTCAATTTAATTTAAAGGTATGCCAGGAGTTTCCCCTGTCTAATTTGAAATTCATATCATACGTTGAAATGTTTTCGTTTAGATTTAATGGCCCAAATATGGTGTTCAAGTATGATCACGTCACCCGCAAGTACAACAACCTGGTTGAGATTGACGGTCGATTCTCCAATCTGAGTGACAACGAAGGTGACTATTTCAGCTACAGACCACAGGAACTCGATGATAGCGTGTATAACATAATTTATTCGTAAAGAAAAAATCACACACCTCTATAAACATAGTCTATATGTACATAGAGGGGTGTGATTGTTTTCTCTATACGATTATATTATGTTATACACGCTATCATCGAGTTCCTGTGCTACAGACGATTTTGAAGCTATACATTTGTCGGCTATTGATAATTTTGGTAATCGGTAATTACTCCTTGTAGTAAATCTGTAACATGGAAGATGTTCGATGGGCATTACTTAGAAGTTGACGGATGACAAAGTAGACAGAATTTATGGATAACATCTTCTTTAATTACTGTAAAGGCGACGTTTCGGTATAGACCCTTATACCGTTGTCCACCATCGTCCAGGTAATATGTACACTGTGTTTCCACCTGTCCTTGGGGTTGTTTTTGGTTTGGTTTTTTTGTGTTTTACGCCGCACTCGGCAATATTCCAGCTATATGACGGCGGTCTGTAAATAATCGAGTCTGGACCAGATAATCCAGTGATTGATATCATGAGCATCGATCCACGCAATTGGGATCGATGACATGCAGCAACAAGTCAGCGGGCCTGACCACCCGATCCCGTTAGTCGCCTCTTGCGACAAGCATAGTCGCCTTTTACGGCAAGCATGGGTTGCTGAAGACCTATTTACCCCGGATCTTCACGAGTCCCGTGGAAGTTGGGAGTAGACATAGTCCACCTAGTTGCTTCTCTTGGTCGTGCCAGGATCCGCTGGTTGTAAGTTTGAACCTCAGATAAAACCGATTATGAGCTTTAGTCTGTCACCACATTAATGTTTCTCTCCAAAAGAGCAGCCTCAAAACACGCTAAACGATGGTACTTAATGTTACCCTGCCTTGCACTGGGTAAAGGGATAAAACAAAGACTCCAAATCTGCTACTCCAGTGGTCTGACATGTTTATATATGTCGCTTGCCTGTCCCGTCTGTTAGTGGGGCAAATAAAGGTATAGGCTTATTGTTCATGATGATAACTTTACCTCAATATTCCTAATGGTAAATGTAACTGAGAAAATCCAAGATGGCTGCCAAATTTAAGATAGCCGCTAATTATCACAATCATTATCAATTTCTGACATAGCAATTCATAGCATTATCCAATTTTGGTGATCTTAGTGTTTTCTATGTTCATGACCATGCCGAGACTGATTCTACTACCTTAAAACCGTAAGAGGTTGCCGTAAGAGGCGACTATGCTTGTCGTAAGAGGCGAGTAACGGGATCGGGCTGTCTGGGTCGCTGACTTGTTGATGCATGTCATCGTATCCCATCGATCGATGCTTATAATGTCAATCACTGGATTGTCTGACTCAGACTCGATTACTTACAGACCGCCGCCATATATAGCAGGAATATTGCTAAGTGCTGCGTTAAACAACAAACAAACAACAAACAAGAAATTGAAACGTCTCAGATTGTCTTTGTCATCATTTCTGAAGGTCAAGCCATCAGTGTAGTTGCATGCGACTTGGACGGCGACCCCGACGGCAGGGAGGAGATCTACATCCTCAACACCAACGATCAATACTGGGGATCCAAACGTTACAAGGACAAGCTCTTCAAGTTCAGGAATGGACGGTACTCACAATTCTGCTTCTTTCAATTGTTGTTTCTTTCATGGGACAATGCATAACTTGGACTGTTAACGTATTGTTTTTCGTGACGCGTTCGACTGCAAGGTATGCATGAGTTAAGATTCACACGCCTGTAACCTCAGTCGTTGATGTGCGCCACCAACCATGACGTCATTCATGTAATCTGACATGTTGTATTTCAGCTACGAGGACCTGTTCAGCGACACTATAAACTCCGGCATGTCCCACATGTTTGCGGGACGTTCTGTCGCCTGTGTAGACAGGAAAGGGACAGGAAAATATGGCTTTCTTCTGGCAACTTACAGCAGGCGTGAGTAGAGGGCACGGCAGCCTAGAATGTGTTCAAAATTGCATCCCTGGGTCCAACCAGGATCTGCTGATCATACATTCGAACCTCCGATTCGTTCTGATTTTGATCTTTGGTTCGTTAACACCATATCCATGCTCGTGGGTTTCACCAAAATGGTAGATATGTGTTTCACTTAAGTGTCTGCGGGCTGTGTTATTTTTGGCTTTATACCTACATTATGCATACGTGCCTTGAAATGCTAAAATAACGTTCGGCTTTCCTTCTCACAGTGGGTGTGGGAGAGTTCGCCCTGATGGAGATGAACGAGTCAAGCCCTAATAACGACGTCATTTCTGGCCGCGTGGTCATCTGCAACGTGGGCACTGAGGCGGGGATAAACATCAGCACTGGTCTGTACTCACATATGAGTTTGTTATATTGTTTCCAGAATATGTATCCATCCTATTTATACTGGGTAGAAAGGGTGTCTATAATTGTATTTCTACTGGTATAGACTGGGTGTCTATAATTCTATCTATATCAGTGAACAACATCTTCCAGCGATCTCTGTCAAATAGGCAAGGCTTAATCCAAACTCTGTGAACTGTTGCCCGATGAATTGATGAAAAATTTTACGACGATCTCTTATTGTTTGACTTTTACTCTTTCTTTACCACCTTCTTGTCATTCGCCATTCGAAAGTCTTTCAATTGTGTAGGTTGAATAACGAATGACGAAAAATATCGCCATTCGAATGTATTTTAATGTTGTAAGTTGAATAACGAATGATGAAAAAAATCGCTATTCGCACGTATATTTATGTTGTAAGTTGATGACGAAAAAAATCGTCAGTCGTCATTCGCCCATCTTCCTGAGTTAACTGACCTTATAAGTCCAGTTTCCACTCTTGCCGAATTAGGCTGGAATTACTCGGCTCGGTCGTAGCGCCACCAGTGGCGATTACGAGCTACGTCCCTTCTATGTCCCTCCTATTGCATCTCTATATCATACTTGCATTTGCTTCACACGAAATGGCCGATAATCAAGACCTTTATTGTAATAAAACGGGTCTAACCTCGCGAAGTGCATCAAATCACTTGAGCATCTTCGTTAAAACATGAAAAGAGTTTGAAAATATCTGTCAACGCCCAGTTGACGGTACACATGTTCTGCAAATCCTGATATCGACCGAAATCTACACGGCAGTCGTCATGTCGTTATTCCATTCAAAATATAACTCCAAAGTTGATGCCTAGTTCGGCAAGGGTGAAAACTTGACTGTTACAGTCAGTTAACTCCCTTGCTTCGGGAAGATGTCTTTCGCCATTCGAATGTATTTTATTGTTGTAAGTTGAATGACGAATAACCGGCTAACTTCTGGTTGCCTTCATCTTCCCGAGGCAAGGGAGTTAATTGACTATAGAAGTCCAGTTTCCATCCTTGCCGAACTAGGCTGGTATTCTGGAGTTACATTTTGGCTGGACTAACGAGTCTATGCGTAGTCAAAAACGCGCTACGAAATCGAAATCCGGTTCGTAAACTGTCATGTAGATTTCGGTCGATTGCAGGATTTGCAAAGCATGTGCACCGCGAACTCGTTGTCAACAGATATTTTCTAAATCTTTTCATGTTTTTAATCAATTTGCTCACGTGATTTGATGGACTTCGCGTTGTAAGACCCGTTTTATCACAATATAAATCTTGATTATCGATCAGATCGTCTTAACTGGGCGCCGCCGTTTTGTTTGAAGCAAATGCAGATTATACGAGACGTGGAATCTGATTGGTCCAGAGGAGAGACATAGAAGGGACATAACTCGTAATAGCCACATGTGGCGCCCCGATCGAGCCCAGGAATTCCAGCCTAGTTCGGCAAGGGGGGAAAACTTGACTTTATTAGTCAGTTAACTCTCTTGCCTCGGGATGATGGGTTGCCTTACGTTCAGCACAGCTGACTTGGAATGGCTGGTGAGTGGATATAAACTGATCTCTTCAGATCCTCAATTTTGTAGGAGCATTAGGAGCATAAGAGGTCAATGTATATCTGCTCTCATACCATTGTATGTTGGCGAATGATAACGAATGTGGTTGATTTCATTCTATTCGTCTGCAACTGAATGTTATGATTTTGTTTGTTAACTGATAGACCTCTGGCCTCATTATAAATATCATCAACTTATTTAAGCCTGGTAGGTAGGACAATATAATAATGTATAATACAAGACAATGGGTACTGTTGACAGGTGGGCAGGGTATTGCAGTTGGTCCGATCCTTGGCGATGATGGTCTGTCCGACATCTTCTTTGTTAATGAGGGCAACTCCGGGGTCAAGAACCGAGGGGACAATGCACTCTTTAAGAACAGAGGGGATGGGACCTACGAGGACGTGGCCAGGATTACAGGTGAGTGAGTGAGTGAGTGAGTATGGTTTTATGCCGCTTTTAGCAATATTCCAGCAATATCACGGCGGGGGACACCAGAAATGGGCTTCACACATTGTACCCATGTCGGGAATCGAACCCGGGTCTTCGGCGTGAAGAGCGAACGCTTTAACCACCAGGCTACCCGACCGCCCTGGATTACAGGTGATGTGCTGAATAATGAGATGCATTTACTGGGTTCTGGATTCGGAGGTCTATATTGTGTGTTTGTCTTTCGTTATCAACGAACCTCTTCAGATCAGTTGGCCAACCAAAACACACCACGGTCAGCCATTGTGACCATTCGGACCCCAGTTTGGCCGCACATATGTATAAGGTCCATTATACTTGTATGGCCTAACTGAACATTTATAATATTCTTGCCATCAGGTGTTACTGATCGTGACGAAAATGGCCGCGGTGTTACACTTGCGGATTTCAACAATGACGGCCTGGTAGATATCGTGTATGGAAACTGGGTAGGGCCACACAGGCTTTATCTGCAGCGGAGGAACGGCAGTGATGTGCGGTTTGAGGTAGGGATAAATCATAGCATTACAGAAAGAAATTAAAATTTAAAAAAAAGATCATTCCCCCTATTCACGTTTTTTAGTTTACGGACCAAGGGGTTTAAAGCAATGGCTATGTACTTCACCCATTTTACTATCTCTATTTTTTGGTCTCAGTAAGAGGAGCAGTATTTTACTACGATTTGATACAAGTGACAGATGTCTACGACACTGTCTTCCCTGCAGTTAGCTGACACGTCATGAAACTAGTATCTCAAAAACTGTTACCACGGTCTCACTCAGTAGGTCTTCACCAACCCACGCTTGCCGTAAAAGGCGACTATGCTTGAGGTAAGAGGCGACTAACGTGATCGGGTGACTCGCTGACTTGGTAGATGCATGTCATCGTATCCCCATTGCGTGGATCGATGCTCATTATATCAATTACTTGATTGTCTGGTCCAGACTCGATTATTTACAGTCCCCCGTCAAATAGCTGGAATATTGCTGAGTGCGGCGTTGAACAAAAAACAAACAAACACTCATTCATGCATGCCAAGACATTGTCTATCACGTTAAACGGAGTTTTCATGAAAATGAAATATTTTCAAGAATATCTATATACATTATATTTATTGAAGTAAATTGAACCCTGCTCTTCTCTGTATCGATTCTGTACGGTTGATGGAGAATTCCCAACAGTGACGGACAAAGCATCAGCAACAGCTGTATTTCCGTGTTTCCAGAACGCAGCAAGTAGGGAGTTCGCGAGGCCATCCCCAATCAGAACCCTCATAGCTGCCGACTTTGACAACGACGGCATTCTGGAATTGTTTCTCAACAACATCTACTACCAGTTTGCCATGACCCCCAACTTGCTGTACAAGGTCACACCTAACGGGGACGGTGTGGACATTGAAAATATTGACGTTGGTGACGCCCTAGAACTCAATGGGAGAGGCACAGGTGGGTGTAGTGAATGATAGGAAAGCGCTGATACTTTGTGTTAAATGGGATTTGCTGCATTTGTGATGATAGAACTGCCAGTCGCTATGCTGCTATCATTATAGGATTCGAAAGGGAAATACTCTGATAGAAGTGGAAGTGTGACTGTGTATATTAACTCCCGGGCAAAAGAAAGTATACTCCCATATTTGATGATGGCTAAAACTGAAACAGACAAGAAATGGTTATTCGATGGTGATGTATTTGATATGGGTATCATAGTTGTGTTGTGGACCTTAAGTTTGGAGCGTTTCGGCGACTGTTTTCAGCCTAGTTACGTTTTGATAACGTTTTTAATGTTTTGGTCAAATCCAATTTTCAAGGGTATACTTATATTTGCCAGGCAGTTTGTTGTTTGTGTTTAGGCGTTGTGGTATACTGTAAAGAATTGAATTCGAAAATTGGTTTGAATGCTAGTTTTAAACCTGCGTCACGTTTTGCTTCACTCCCATATTTGTTTCTTTAAAGGCGACACGTGGTTACACAGTGATAGTACTACAAAGAGATGTTTAACCTTACTATCTATTATATTTTGTTAGCTTTAGTGCGTATGTTGGACATGCTTCCATACTTCTGTTTGAACATTTTACACTTAAGGGAACTTGATTTGGCAACCTTTTGCATGTGGTATTCAACCAACCAGCCTTCCTGTTACACCTTGACCGACCCGTGAAGACTCGGGTTGGAATTGTTTTTCAGCAACCAATGCTTGTCGTAAGAGGCGATTACGGGATCGGGTGGTCAGGCTCGTTGACTTGGTTGATGCATGTCATCGTATCCCAATTGTGTGGATCGATGCTCATGATATCAATCACAAGATTGTCTGGTCCAGACTCGATTATTTACAGACCGCCGTCATGTATCCGGAATATTGCTAAATGTGTCTTTAAACAATAAACAAACCCCTTGACCACTGCGCATCTTATAGCGATACGCCTTAGTAACCGTTGTGCTTCTGCAGGTGCATCGGTCACTGACCTTGACGGCGACGGTCGTCTCGAGCTGCTCGTGTCGCACGGAGAAAGCACCGAACAGCCTCTAGAACTTTACCACGTGCATCCCGGGGAGGGAAACCGGTGGATCCGGATCATGCCGCTCACCAGAGTAGGGGCACCTGCACGAGGTGCTAAGGTCACCGTCACGCTGACAGACAGTACACGTCAGAGCAGAGTCATTGACGGGGGGTCAGGTTATCTGTGTCAAATGGAACCTGTCGCCCATTTTGGCCTTGGTCAGTCGTATCCAGCAGAGGTCAGCATTCAGTGGCCCGACGGCAATGTGGTTACCAAGGCGATGGGAAGGACGACTGTCAACAGTTTCCACAGGATAGGATATTCGGGATTCCTTGAAACAGTTCCAAGACCAGATCCCGGGTCACAGGGAGGAGATACTGTCAGCGTGGGAACAAGAGGTGAGAACCCCCTTTCATTGTTGGTGTCAACACTCTTTGGTTAAGGGTATGTGATGGAGTTTCTCAGCGTTCTTTGTGAAGTGAGGTTTTCCTGTGCATCCAAGGCGTGGAAATGAATTATCTGGGTAAGGCAAGTTTGTCAAGTTTATGGAAAAAATGAATTAAAATAAAATGAGAAACTAATGATAAAGGCCGGTTTGTATAATTATCAGAACTTATTCGATGTTGTCCCTGATAATCTATGCTTGTCGTACGATGTGACTTAATGGTGGTCGGGCTTGGTGACTGTGGGGTTGCGTGTCATCGTAGCTTTGCGGTGATCGGCGCTCGTAATATCAATCACTGGATTGTCTGATCCAGACTGAATTATTTAAATGCCATCATCATATAGTTAGAACATTGCTGAGTGCTGCCTTAAACAACAACCAAACAAATAACGTTGGCGTCACAAAAACAACTGTTCACCATTTGGAAATTGAACGACTTACATTTTAACCAGTTTGAAAGATGAAGAACGTTTGAGGGTAACAAGTATTAAGTACATTACATGCGCCAGTTTTTCTTGAAACATGTATCTTTCATAATTATCTATTTGCATGCGTACATATTTAGATCCATAGAGTTCCTTCATTCGTTCAAGGAGAGATGACGTTTCTTTTTCAGAGAATGCAGGTATTCTTTCATTCTTGGTATTCCTGGTACCCTCCTACCATCTCCGGTGACGTCCGATGTCTGGTGAAGCTGTACTGACCACTGCCATCTCTCACCCAGGATGCCTCCAGTTGACGTGTCGGCTCCATTGTATAACACCAAGCCATGATCACACCATTGCCACTTCATCGACATCATGTTTGAGATACAATTGTGTTTTTGTCACCTCTTTCGTTTTCTTGTTCTCTTCAAGGAGAACCTTGAACAAAGAGTGAATACAACCCACCTCAACTCTTTGTCACGCTGCACAGCTGTATGCGGCTCGGTTTGTGGGTCGGGTGAAATGGGGTTTAACTCAACATTATTGCACTTATATAGCGACGTGCGTGTACTAGTCCGGACTAATGCCTGTTTTACAGTGCAAGCCCACTGAGATATCATGCCGCAGTTTAACTTGAATACCCCACTCAGACACAGTGTACCGACTCCGAGCCGACCAGTCCTTGTTTTAGCCTCTTAATGACCAGCGTCAGGCAGAAAGTACCATTTTAACGTCTTTTGGTATGACGCGGCCTGGAATCGAACCCCCCGACCTGCTCTCTCCGGGCGGACGCTCTATGGGTTGACGTTCTTCAACAATCAGTTGTTATTCATAATTAATATACTTTTAGTTTTTCCCAATGACTTCCTGCACTCAAGACAGAACCATCTTCTATTTTCCAGTTTATTATATTGTATATGTTCCTTCTGTTACGATACATACTCTCGACCCAATTGCCGACATGGCATCCTTTCAAAATGGCGGCGCCATATCAGTAACGTACATATGATACAGAATCTCACTCGATCGTGACTGCAGTTTGATTGAGCGGCTCTTTTAACCACCGTGTCATTCGAATTACGAAGCAAATGTGGCGAACGGGTCCAGGGTATTTACCAGGATGGAGATACTCTGGGCAATGGAGGATAGCTACTTGATGTCATCGTATCCCAATTGCGTGGATCGATGCTTATGATGTCAATCACTGGATTATCTGGTCCAGACCTGATTATTTACAGACCGCCGTCATATGGCTGGAATATTGCTGAGTGCGGCCTTAAACAACAAACAAACTTGATGTACTTGATCATGTACTCGCCTTGCAGCCACATACTATCTATCTACATATCTTAGTGGGGGCGAGAGGTTCCACTTGGGACATTTGTAACTTCAATGAGGGTGAGGGGTGCGGGTTGGTGTCCCACCCATATACCTACCCAATCAATCACAAACAGTACATGGAAACCATTATTAATAATTTTACATTAACAACCAAATGAACATGTTGTCATGGTTGGAAATGCGCATACAAAATATAATCGGATGTGAAAAAAGTGTGTGTATGGACAGAACCAGAACCCCATCTGGTGCGTGTATAATATTGTAAATTATATTAGTTTTTATCTTGTAAATAAATATACGTTAATACATATGCTCGTCATTAATGTCTGGTAGGGCACTGGTCTTCAACAACCAATGCTTGTCGTAAGAGGCGACTAACGGGGTCAGGCTCGCTGACTTGGTTGATGCATGACATCGTATCCAAAGTGCGTAGATCGATGCTCATGATGTCAATCAGTGCATTGTCTGGCCCAGATTCGATTATTTACAGGCCGCTGTCATATAGCTGGAATATTGAGGCATTAAACAACAAACAAACATGGATGAGGTGGTCAGGCTGGGGACTTGGTTCACTGCGTGTCATCGTACCCAAGCTGTACCATCGCTTGCTATAGTCCGCAGTAATGGCAGAACAAAACAGATTCTAATCACGTGTGTAGTTTATTGAATTACCGTTATATCATTGTTTTAACTATAGAGCTTATAGCCAGCCTCTAGAGTGGCACATACAATCAGGGCATAAAACGTCGTTATGGGGGCTTCCACATACACAATATACACATGACACATGATTTAAACTGCCACTCAAATAGCCCCGGGCCCCGTTCGGCAAAGCGACCGTAGTGCCAAGACGATCGTAACTCCAATGCTTTAACATTGACTTACGAATGTCGCAACGCTACGATCGCCTGGTGGAAACTGGGCCGAGAACTGTCGCTTGATGCGTTGTTATTCAGTGGTATTATCAAAGGCGTGGTTTGTATACCCCTGGAAATTAGTTAAGCACAGCCCTTTCTTTTCATATATCACGAACTTCTATGTATCTTTTGGGAATATCTACATATGACATTTGTATCATGTTGATACATGTTCACGATACCACCGACGCCTGCTGAAGAATTAGTACAAGAAAAATGTCAATCTCATTAAAATCAGATCTTAGTTCTCGCTTCCGCTAAACAAAGATCTGAAGACATCCCATTACGGGTCACGTCAAACCGACCTTGCGCAAACTTTGACTGACCAATGGAATGACTGACAAGAAGTCGACATAAGCCAATCAGAAGGCAGCTTTCTCGTGCTTTACGGCACTAATTTCAAATTGGCGACTACGCCTCGAAACATATTTTGACAAATTCTCGATTAAGAAAATTAAAACTGATAAGAAGAACATTCTGGAATGGCTTATATATGGCCTAGATTGTAAAACCCGTAACTGTCGTTCGGAATACCCCGTGTTAAATATTTCGTGGTTGCATGATTAGAAAACTCATTCCGACTGTCACTTTCATGATCTGGTAATCTGAACAAAAGAACATTCTCGAATGGCTAATATATGGTCTAGATTGTATAGATTCAGTCGTTAAGCCCGTAACTATCGTTCGGAATACCCCGTTTTAAAGTTTTCGAGGCTGCATGATGAGAAATCACATCCCGACTGTCACTTTCATGATCTGGTAAGCGACGCTCTGATTGGTCGGATGAAAGGTCGTTCTGACGTGACCCCAAATGGGATGTCCTCAGATCTTTGTTTAGCGGTAGCGAGATCTAAGATCTGATTTCAATGAGATTGGAAAAATGTCGGCATAAAAGTTTGTACCTGAACACTATATGTTCCTCCAGCTGAACGCATTTGATCATATCGAAAAGCAGCGGATACATCTAAATGCGTAGACAAATTAGATAAGTTCTTAAAGAATCGATTTCCGTTTCAGTATTTTAAACAAGTGTGTGACTTTATCAACAATAAACAGAAATGCAGGATGGGCTTTTGAAATTAATATTTTTTATATTCAAATGTATAGTAAGGGTGCTTAACCTTTTTCCAGTTGTATACACGTGTAAACAGCGACCATATACACAACTATTTAATATAAACATTGGGATCTATGAACACTGTAATCCTGTGCACCGTTTCACTAAGCGACCCCAGTGCTACGAGTATCCAATTCCTATACTGTACCATAGATTTATGACGGTCGTAGCGGTACGGTCGCTCTGAGGAACAGAGCCTGCAGTTGCTGTACGATAGCTAGGCTTGTTGCTCCAGGCACCCAAAGTGCAGTAAAATCCGAAGGAATCCAAGGTCTAAGACTAGTGTAAGCACCTCGTTAAGTATATGAGCAAGAGTTGGTTGGAAAAGCGGGGATATATTTGTGGGATATACTGTATTCGCAGCAAGTCCATCATATGTAATGGGATGCTGCCGATAACACATTCTTTCCCAAACCACGATACATAACGTGCGGAACTTACTGTTTCAGGTGAAAACAGCCTCATATGTTTCAACAATGTTTTGATATATATACTAGTACATACATAACATGATAAAATATATGTTTACAAGTTAACACTGCTCGTAACAACATTACAGACATAAAACAACAAAACAGCAACAAATAGCTGCAATTACTGTAACAAGGTGGGACTCGAACCCAGATCATCTGCGTGTCTGTCGGACACACTACCCATGGAGCCACCTAGATGCCACGGACAACCACGGACAACCACACAGTAACGGTCACTGCGATCTGGGTATCAACGTGGCTGTATACACATGGCGTAAGCTAAATGCATTTCAATAAATATATGGTTCTGACTGTTCACGCTGATTTGCAGCAGATCTTCAGTTGGTCAGGAAAATAGATCATGTTCAATCGCCATAACTTCCAGCCCCCGAACAGCGTCTGTAGAAGCCAGAAGACGAAGGAGAACCAACTGCCGACCTGGAACAGGGCGATGACGTATTAAATTACACACACGCACAGACACACGCATACGCAAACACACACGCACGGACACACACGCAATATCAAGTGGTAGTCGTGGAGTATGTGCAAGAGCAATGAACCAATAAACCTCTATCACAATATATTTCGTGGCTGTGGTGAAAACGGGTGATAGCAAACGTTTGGACACCGGGTATCCGTGGTTGATACCCGGAATACCATAATTGTTAGCGTCGTGTGCATTGCGCAAGGTTATGTTGGTCTGTATTTATCATGAAAAGAACCAAATCATTATCAGATGTTAGATATCCGTGAAGATCAGGGTTAGAATAGGTCTTCGGCAACCCATGCTTGGGGTAAAAGGCGACTGTGCTTGTCGTAATATACTGAACCAAATTAAAAACTTCACAATCCTAAAATTTTAACATTTTGACCAGTTATCATTGTGGGCCCTTATTGTGTATTTAAACAGTAATGGCCACGTATTGTCTTCAGATAACACTCGTTTTTGTGCAGGTGAATCGATCAAAATCATGTGCACAGCACTATAGTGGCAAAAGTGTTTTTTCACGTGCAACTGGTCACGTGGCCATAATACCGCACGTGTTTTCAGCCATACTTGTTAGCAGTCATTAACCAAAAAAAAAAAACACAAGAAAACAAAAGTCTTTTCGGCCATTTGTCATGCCACGCCTTTCAAATGTGCAACGTGAACGTGCCATCGGCATGTTGCAGACGGGAACGTCCGTAGCTGAAGTCGAAAGGACGATGGGTTGTAGTCGACGGACTGTTTATGATTTACAGACGCGTCTACAGCAAACGGGTACCACCGCTGATCGCCCTCGGCCAGGTCGACCACGTGTGACGGCACATGCAGAGGATCGTCAGATTGTCTTACGTCACCTCCGTAACCGATTTTTGACGGCTACATCAACCAGAAATGAACTGTTTAGGGGTAGACTGAGTGCGCAAACTGTTCGAAACCGTCTGAGAACTGTTTACCTTCAAGCACGACAACCATACTGCGGGCCGATTCTGACTCAATTACACAGACGTCAACGTCAATTGTGGGCACAGTGACACTTACGATGGACTCAGAGGAATTGGAATCAAGTCGTCTTCAGTGATGAATCCCGGTATAATCTTCGATTTGCTGATGGTAGAGCGAGGGTGTGGAGGCGCCGTCATGAACGTTACGCCCAGTGTTGTGTACAGGAGGTTGACAGATTTCGAGGCGGAAGTGTCATGGTGTGGGGTGCTTTCTGTGGCAATGCACGTTCAAGGCTTCTTGTCATCCGTGGCAACCTCAACGCTGCTGCTTACCGCGACCAGGTACTGACACCAGAACTTCTGCCTTTTATGGCAGCACATGGACCCGGTTTGATCTTCCAACACGACAATGCCAGACCCCACACAGCAATTTTGACAAGGAATTTCCATCAGAATGCGGGAATCAACGTCATGGACTGGCCGTCAAGGTCTCCCGACCTCAATCCCATCGAACACGTCTGGGATGCTCTTGGCAGAAATCTGCGCACTCTCCACAACCAACCACAGAATTTGGCGTCGTCTTCCCAATCATGTGTTCACAAGCATCACAAGGTCAATGCGGAGGGGTTGTGTGGCAGTTGTCAACGCACATGGTGGCAATACACGGTACTGAACTTGTGTGCCATCAGATTCTCGTGCTTGGGACTTATGATTTAAACTGTTGATGTTATTACCAAATACCTGAGGTGCTTGGAACAAATTATGGTTACCACCGTTAATTAAAATCCTTCTTTGGACATTACTGATTAAAAATTACCTTCTCTGATACATTTGTCCGTTGTATATCATATATGGGATTACTTTTAAAAATGTGAACTTTTTAATTTGACTCAGTATATATCACTGGTGCGGCACCGTGAAAATTCGAGTTGGAATTGGTCTTCGGCAACCCATGCATGTTGTAAGAGGCGACGAACGGGATCGGGTGATCAGGCTCGCTGACTTGGTTTATGCATGTCATCGTATCTCAACTGCGTTGATCGTTGCTCATGATGGCAATCACTGGTCCTGACTCGATTATTTACAGACCGCCGTCATATAGCTGGAATATTGCTGAGTGCTGCGTTAAACAACAAACAAACAAAAACAACAACAGATGTTGGATGCTATGAGGACCTGATCCGTTGGCGCATTAATCCACTTGCTACTAGGTAAATGTAATCAGTATTGTAGGAGAGCTCTGAACCCTGGCTTGCGAATACACACGACAGTGGGATTGAAGAATAACGTACGTAGATAACATCTGAATGTTGGGAGGAATATTGCCTCTAAATACTTTTTTATCATGTTCTTTTTCGCGTCGAGTTTTGCGAAAAACAAAAAGGAAGAAGATGTGTGTATACTTACTGTTGCTATACTCAAACACACGTGGAAGTTGCTGCCATCATATCCTCGCCATGTTTGAAATGACTGAGCGTCGGAACAGCTGCACGAGAAACAATGCCAATGATGATAATAAACAACTGAGTACATAACAGTATCAACATCATCATCAACATCATCAATCACAAGTTACTTTTTCGTCATACCTTATATGTGGAAATGAGTAAAAAGTTTTTAGTATGTCAAAGCAAACCAACTTAATTGGGGAGGAAAGTCTGAAGTGATGCATGTGTTTGATCACCATTTTTGTGAGACCCATGATTTTGGTGCTGTCATCGTATCCTAATTGTGTAGATCGATGCTTATGATGTCAAACACTTGATTGTCTGGACCAATTATTTACATACCGCCGTCATATGGGTGACATATTGCTGGGTGTGGCGTTAAACAACAAAGAAACAAACAAACATTGATACACTGACTATAGCTTGTAGCTCACCTGGCTAAGTGTATCCCGTGGTCATTCGCCGTCATCAGCTGCTGACACACGTGGCTGAATCCCGCGCTGATGGTGCAGGCCGAGACTAGCACCAGCACCAAGACGGCCACCTCGCTGGCACAGTGGACCAGGAACCACAGCCGGGCGATGTCCACCCTGGACAGAACATGACCATCACAACAAGCACAGCACTTTTAAAGGGGGAAACGGCAAAGGGTTCGACTTACATTTTGACCACAAAGGGTAGGAAAACTACAGCATCACCATGGCATCACCATTTTGAGAAGTTGTTCGTTGTGCACACACCAAATAGAATGGTACACAGCTTAGCCATATTGTCCATAAAGTACCCAAGTTATATTAGCCCACCCCCAAACACATAAACACACACATTAACACATAAAATTAACCTTTTAAAGACTATCCCTGATTTTTTATTAATGTTAATTGCACTGTCCAGGTTACGACCCCCCCCCCCCCCCCCCCCCCCCCCCCCAAGTTGTGTGCATTCTATAACCCTACCCTGGAGTCTGTCATATTCTTAATCACCCTGCCCTATTATGTTGTCATGTGATGTTACACTCGCATGAATATCGTTTGAAGCGCCAATACAATCTACTATTAACGCGCACACATTCGCTGTGTTATGAGTATTTAAATTGTGGCGTGTGTTCCCACCAACCTGTTCCTAACTTAGTCATTTCCTAAACATGAGTTGATTTTTGTGTTTGATATGGAATAATGTTCACGTTCAACGCCTCAAGTCATGCAATGTTTGACACAAAACACCATATTTTTCACATCCAGTATGTCCGGAGAAACTTTTGAAAATTTCTTTTAGAACTGACGAAATTTTCTTAACAGATTTTTCGGGAACAGTTTATTTTAAAAAATCGCACGCCCCTCCCCTGTAAAAGAAATGGTCGGTCTCTAAACAACGAATGACACCAAGGATATGTGAATTCCCAACATAAATAATTGAAACGTACAACTCGTTTACTTTGAAAGCAGTCTGTATGGTGCAGACGATCTGGCCTGGCTGTGTTAGTGTATCATCGTACCCCGACAGCGTGGATCGACAGTAATATTAACGTCGGTCACTATGACGTTAACGTCACCCCCTTCACGTAACGACCACTTACTCTTGGTTTTTCTTCTGTTTAAAATACAAGTACACGTATCCCCCGGCTGCCACGCTGGCGTAGATGAGGGAGAAGGCTACAGCGATGATAATGTTGTAGTCACAGACGGAGGCGTCAGACGGGAAGTGAACTCTAAAATACCGGAACTTTGGGTTGATGGTGACATTGTAGGTGACGTCTGCGTACAGAAGACATCTATGACCAAAATTGATCTGAAAAAGAAGACATTGACTTGAAATAACATTATTATGTATCAAAATTCTTCAACTTCACAATACATGTACATACATTTCTTCCGTAACCGGTTACCCTAAACACAAGAATAAATATATTTGTATGACTTTCATGTCCACTTAGGAGAGAGTTTTGTTTTACGCCGCTTTGAATATTATTTTAGTTACGTCACGGTGTGTAAGCTTAAAGGACTGATTGATTGTTGTTTAACGACCAACGCTGCAATATTCTCGGCGGTCTGTAAATAATCGAGTCTGGATTAGGAAATCCAGTGATCGACATCATGAACATCGATCCATACATTTGGGATACAGTGACATGAAGTCATCGAATATGACCACCCGTTCCCCACTGTCCACAAATTTAGTTTTCAAAGGTTTTCTAAAGAATTATCTGATAAAATGCATGATGTGAAATTCTGATGGAACGTTTACATATAAACATGTAGACTAAGAATAAGACATGATAATGCACCTCACTGTTCACGGCGTAAGTACTCTTCAAGATAACATATATCTGTAAGTATTTGCGTAACCCCCGCCACCGTCGTGTTAGCATCACTATAGATCAGAACCGTATTTGCTGAGCTGTCACTTGAGATGTTGATGGTATTTGCTTGTCAATGTCAAGTGAATCTTCACCCAGCCGTTGTATATTTCAACTGTCAATCGTCTACAGAGAAAACGGACATTTTACAATAAAACATAAAGTGTTTTTGCATTTTGTCTTTTCAGGGAGGGTTGTGAAAAATGTACATTAACATGGGGAGGGTCATCCGAAAATATGACAATCATTAATGGAGGGTAATTATTTTCAGTACATCAGTACACCTTGCCAGGTTCATGGATGCATCACGTCGGTACAGACAAACCAGTAGTTGATAAGGCTGGGTTCGATGCTACAGAATTAAAAACGGTAAGACACTCTATCAACTGTTCTTTCTGAACAAGTAAACACCATCTGTATTTTCTGTGATTTTAGGACAAACGTGGAGGCTTAAATGAGAAACCTCGTCCGCCATGAATCTCCGATGATTTGGAAATGATTGAGATCTCAAACGCAAACGTCATTTCATTTCAGTCGATCACCACCTGCATGACGTGTGGTTAGGACGGAATGGTGTTGCTACAATCGTCACCACTCGGTCCTTTCAGTAGCCTACAAGAAGACTCGCTCCCCTATCGATGAATGCGATGAACAATCAGAATGCGCCTATGTCTTCGGTCAAAGAATCCCTTATGAATAATTATTTATTTTACATGTCTTGCATTTAAAAATATGCCAAGAATAGTTAAGTGTGTTCAATCATACTGTATAATACCATAAGTCCCGATGTGTTTAAATAGCATCTGGAATATATATGATATATTGGGGAAATATACGTGAATCATTACGCAACGAGTTGACAATTCTTTTAGCTATGCCCGTTTGCGCTTAGACGGAATCCAGTCGTGAAAATGGCCACGAGAGGGGCACGAGTCGCTATTCGGCTTGTCCCGGATAACACGAGTTGATCACGAATGGTGTGGATAGTGAAGGGGTAACTCTAATAGACAACCAAGAGATATGATTGTTACATCGGTAGAGTGCCTGACAAGAATATCTGGGTGAATCAGGAGAATGATAAACATTCTGGGTTTTTTTTACCGTAGATGTATTAAATGTAGATTTATTCAGCTGTTGTAACAAGAGACACGTTTTTGTGATTTAAATCAGCCATCACGGAATGGGGACACGGTCGACAATCTGGCAAGGACATCTGCAGAACAAGCGAACTTCTTCCTCAGCCTACCTGTCCCCGGAACCAATGCAACCAATGCATACACGCATGAGAATGGATAACGCAGCAGATTTGATTGACTATGCGGGAAAATAAAACATGTACCTTAATAACTATCGCTTCCAATGTAAGTTGGTGACATTTACATAACACTGATAGACGTAACTTTCAATTTCGTTTGCATTAACATAACAGTGATAGCTGTCACTTCATTGTCAATTGCTGTTATTACCATAACAATGACAGAATTTCAATTCGGTTGCTGTCATGGACGGAGCTTATATGGCAGTCATATTCAGTGACATATGCATGTGGTGTAACGTGTATTTCAGATGGAAAACGCGATATTACAATAAGGAAAATCTTACTTCACTAACTCCATCTTCCCAAGCCTGTATCAAAGCTGTGGAACAAGACTTTGATAAAAAGGTGTCGGGCCGGGAAGTCGAAAATCTATTTACCAGTAGTACCGGAAAGGCGAATGGAGGGGTAAGGGACTGGGGACCGGGAAGGTGAATGAAAATATCAGTGATGTGTACCCTCGTTATGTATACAACGGACACTTATACATTGAGGACACTGGGGTGTTGTGAGACGGAAAAGTGAAGAAAGACATAAAAAAAATTGAACTCAGAGAATGTGATTACTAACTTCCATTGAACTCGTGAGACGGAAAAATAAAGAAAAAGATAATCTGTCCTCATTTCATTGGTGTTTTCTTTGTAATTAACAAGTACCGGGAAGGCGATCATCTGCCATAATAAGAATTTTTGTGATGACCGGGAAGGCGAACGTAATTTCTAACTCTGAGGGATTGATTTTCGCCTTCCCGGCCCAGAACCGATAAAAAGGCTAGTGGACGCTCTCGCCTCGGGAAGATGCACTGACTGTAAAGAAATGTTGTTAGTGATTCAATTTAAGAATTGCTGACTGACCAATTTTATTCTAACCTCATTACCCACAATGCTGTTGGGTAAGGTTGCCATATTGCTGACTTGCAAAAAAATCATATCACCAACTCGAAGCTAATGCCTACTTCAACTATATTGTTGATCACCTGTACCACGTGTCATATATGTATGTTTACATACACTTGCGTTGATTGACAGACACTTGTCGTGTAGACACAATGCCACTGTGTATACATACCCCGTCATAACGGCCCTATAGGTTCTATTTCAGCGGTCACTGCCATGGGATATAGGTCACTCAGGCACACACCTTCACTCTCACTCATGTTTGATTTATACCACAGACTACAAACACGTGTAGGTATATACTACTCAAAAGGAGTTAGAGAACACCCGGTATGACAAGGCATGCACGATTAACTAAAGTAATATGAAAGAATCGGGTGTTCGTTAACTTTTTTGACTAGTATATGTACAGCCGTGCGGAAGGGCTATAGTAAAATAAAGGTTCCAGGCGTTGTTAGCGGGTCACAAAAATGTTATGCTATGCTATTTCAGTAAAGTAAGATTATTTTCATCACTGTTACCATACATGTATTTTAAGTTTAAGACGTTGTAACCTTATACTCTGGGAATTGATTATTCGTCATCGGAGCTGTCAATCTGTTAAATGAGTCAAATTACGGATAAATCGAAATACATCAAATGGTTGTCGGAATTCGAATTTAAGAGATTCCACTGTAAATGTAGTTGATTTTATTGGATGTGCTACTCGCAATTTATACTATGATTTTAATAATGGCCACTCTTTATTTGACGTAAGTGTATGTTTACACAACACATCGAAATTCATTTTGATTTCGATTAAGACAAAACGTCGCGTTTATAGTTTACTGTTGTGTTGTGTTTTCTGCTTCATAGAATTTTGTCCCACGTTGGACATCTTGCGTAATGTAATGTGTATTCATGTTTTTTTTAGACGGGGGTATCCCTCTGAGTAAATACGAGTCACGTGGTTGTTTACTGGGTCTATTTTTACTGTCAATCAATTCAGGGATGAGTTGGCGTGTAAGAAACCACTTGTCATCTCGTTGAGTAACACTACAAATTACGATGTTTGGCGCTGAACTAGAATGGGACCCTTCTTCTGAGGTGACGTGTGAGGGGATATTTTAAGTACTGGAAACAAAACAGTAAAAGAAAAACGCCGACCCTTGGACGAGTGACGTTTCTCGGTTCCCGACTCTCTCTCTAAACATTACTGTTGTGGCTTTCTGTTTGTATTCAGTTGTCCATTATTATATGTTGTCACTATCCTATTCAATCCTTTTCATGTCGTTATTTTTAAGAATACAGGAACCTACCTTTTTAACGAACACGCTTATAACGAACTGATGGATATAACGAACTTATGCGTTGTCCAGATCATTTGCTGTATATATGCATATAACAAACTACGGTTATAACTAACTAAAATTAGTGGTCCCTTTTAGTTCGTTATAACCGTAGTTTACTGAAGTTTGTATGACTGTTTTTAAGATGAGGTTTGAAACTCGTAATGTCACCACCTCGACACTTTCATACACTAAGTCAGAGACAAGACTCAACAAGCTATTAAAGTTACGTTAGGTGTACACGTGTTTTACAAAACACATAGCTATGCCTTTGTTCGACAAAAACTATTCGTACAAAGTGCAGGTCAACCCACGTGTATATAAATATAGTTTATGTCATCGCTGTCAATTAATACGCTGTAGCATGTTTCATGACATAGCGTTTCGACCATCGTCCCTCCCCTTCCATGAACATAGACTCACGACCATCATTGAACATAGAATAACGACCATCGTCGCCCCTGCACTTGAACACAGACCGTCGAACAACGTCGCTCTCATACTCGAACACCAACTAATGACCATCGTCGATCCTATACTGAAACACAGACTAACGACCATCGTAACTCCTATACTCGAACACCGAGTAACGACCATCGTCGATCCTATACATGAACACCGACTAACGACCGTCGTCACTCCTATTCTTGAACACAGACTAACGACTATCGTAACTCCTATACTCGAACGCCGAGTAACGACCATCCTATACTCGAACACCGACTAACGACCATCGTCGATCCTATACTTGAACACAGACTAACGACTGTCGTCACTCCTATTCTTGAACACAGACTAACGACTATCGTAACTCCTATACTCGAACACCGAGTAACGACCATCCTATACTCGAACACCGACTAACGACCATCGTCACTCCTACACTCGAACAC